TTAAATTGCCAGCAAGTGCATTTTAACTTAGATTCTTAGGTACTTTTTTCTTAAACAAATTATAACAAAAATAAAACAAATTATTGTACATTTCTAATAAGTATTCTAATCCTTTCTTCCTTCAATAACTATTCTATAGCCGTTAACACAAATTATTGTTTAGCTTCTTGTTTTCTTAAGAAATATTGCAGAAAATTGTTGCCATACAAAATTTCCTTTGTAACAACTATAATTTGCACAAGCCTCATGTTATCTAAATCAACACAATTAGTTTAAAGTGTTTTTACGATTAGGTACTTATAACTTTCTTAAACGTATTGATAAACTAATAGTTGGAGTAAGAGTGATGAATTGTCTTCAAGTAGATGATAATGAGTTATCACAATTATTCATATGTATATAATTATTATTAAATCGATGAATAGAATTAAAAATATTTCATGGGTCGAAGTTTGTCTCTTCTGCATAAAACCTTTATAACTTTAGAATATTCTACACTATTTCTATACTACACTATATTATACTCTAGTCTATAGTCTAGTCCATAGTCTAGTCTATAGTCTAGTCCATAGTCTAGTCTATAGTCTAGTCTATAGTCTAGTCTATAGTCTAGTCTATAGTCTAGTCTATAGTCTAGTCTATAGTCTAGTCTATAGTCTAGTCTATAGTCTAGTCTATAGTCTAGTCTATAGTCTAGTCTATAGTCTAGCCTATAGTCTAGTCTATAGTCTAGTCTATAGTCTAGTGTATAGTCTATAGTCTAGTCTATAGTCTAGTCTATAGTCTAGTCTATAGTCTAGTCTAGTCTATAGTCTAGTCTATAGTCTAGTCTATAGTCTAGTCTATAGTCTAGTCTATAGTCTAGTCTATAGTCTAGTCTATAGTCTAGTCTATAGTCTAGTCTATAGTCTAGTCTATAGTCTAGTCTATAGTCTAGTCTATAGTCTAGTCTATAGTCTAGTCTATAGTCTAGTCTATAGTCTACTATAGTCTAGTCTATAGTCTAGTCTATAGTCTAGTCTATAGTCTAGTCTATAGTCTATAGTCTAGTCTATAGTCTAGTCTATAGTCTATTGTCTAGTCTATAGTCTAGTCTATTGTCTAGTCTATAGTCTAGTCTATAGTCTAGTCTATAGTCTAGTCTATAGTCTAGTCTATAGTCTAGTCTATAGCCTAGTTTATAGTCTAGTCTATAGTCTAGTCTATAGTCTAGTTTATAGTCTAGTTTATAGTCTAGTCTATAGTCTAGTCTATAGTCTAGTCTATAGTCTAGTCTATAGTCTAGTCTATAGTCTAGTCTAGTCTATAGTCTAGTCTAGTCTATAGTCTAGTCTAGTCTATAGTCTAGTCTATAGTCTATAGTCTATAGTCTAGTCTAGTCTATAGTCTAGTCTATAGTCTAGTCTATAGTCTAGTCTAGTCTATAGTCTAGTCTTTAGTCTAGTCTATAGTCTAGTCTATAGTCTAGTCTATAGTCTAGTCTATAGTCTAGTCTAGTCTATAGTCTAGTCTATAGTCTAGTCTATAGTCTAGTCTATAGTCTAGTCTATAGTAGTCTAGTCTATAGTAGTCTAGTCTATAGTCTAGTCTATAGTCTAGTCTATAGTCTAGTCTATAGTCTAGTCTATAGTCTAGTCTATAGTCTAGTCTATAGTCTAGTCTATAGTCTAGTCTATAGTCTAGTCTATAGTCTAGTCTATAGTCTAGTCTATAGTCTAGTCTATAGTCTAGTCTATAGTCTAGTCTATAGTCTAGTCTATAGTCTAGTCTATAGTCTAGTCTATAGTCTAGTCTATAGTCTAGTCTATAGTCTAGTCTATAGTCTAGTCTATAGTCTAGTCTATAGTCTAGTCTATAGTCTAGTCTATAGTCTAGTCTATAGTCTAGTCTATAGTCTAGTCTATAGTCTAGTAGTCTATAGTCTAGACTGTAGCCTCTATCGATCTATCGATCGATCTATCTATATATCTATCTATCTATCTATCTATCTATCTATCTATCTATCTATCTATCTATCTATCTATCTATCTATCTATCTATCTATCTATCTATCTATCTATCTATCCATCTATCTATCTATCTTTCTATCTATCTATCTATCTATCTATCTATCTATCTATCTATCTATCTATCTATCTATCTATCTATCTATCTATCTATCTATCTATCTATCTATCTATCTATCTATCTATCTATCTATCTATCTATCTATCTATCTATCTATCTATCTATCTATCTCTCTATCTCTCTATCTCTCTATCTGTCTATCTGTCTATCTATCTATCTATCTATCTATCTATCTATCTATCTATCTATCTATCTATCTATCTATCTATCTATCTATCTATCTATCTATCTATCTATCTATCTATCTATCTATCTATCTATCTATCTATCTATCTATCTATCTATCTATCTATCTATCTATCTATCTATCTATCTATCTATCTAATCTATCTATCTATCTATCTATCTATCTATCTATCTATCTATCTATCTATCTATCTATCTATCTATCTATCTATCTATCTATCTATCTATCTATCTATCTATCTATCTATCTATCTATCTATCTATCTATCTATCTATCTATCTATCTATCTATCTATCTATCTATCTATCTATCTATCTATCTATCTATCTATCTATCTATCTATCTATCTATCTATCTATCTATCTATCTATCTATCTATCTATCTATCTATCTAAAAGAAGGCTTCTATTCAATTAGAGTTACTTTTATTCATTTATGATCATGTTGATCTTTGAAATTGAAATGAAAACAATAGCAAATTGCAAATGAAAAGAAATGGGAAATACTACTTGTCTAGAGATAGTTAAAAGAGTATTATCTACTTAATAAAAGTGTAAATTTTAGAATTGTTTTTGTTGCTGTTATGATAAACATTTCAAAAATATTTGTTTAACAACAAAACATGAAGTCTACACACGCTTAGACCAACACAGAGATGGAAAATTCAGCACTATTGAAAAATTTGTTTTTCTTTATGCCTCTGAACATTTTAGCAAGACTCTTTTGCTTGTCGAAATTAAATGATTTTTTTTATATAGTTGCCCCAGCAATATTAAATGATTATGTTAATAAAAAAAAAACTTTCAATTAAATTTTTCTTGTATATGTTTCGGTGCATCGTTTAATATTTAACATCATTTTATATGATTTTGTTAGTTTTAGTAAAAAAAAAATATATAGAATAAAATTATATATAATTTAATTTCTTATAGATAAAACACTTAATACTATACGTTTCAGGAATCTTTATATTTTAAAGAGTTTTCTGAAGACAATATAAAAATACACAGAATAAAGCTGCCCAAAATGTAATCGAATAAATTTGTATAATAACAATTTATTATATAATCTTTAAATGCGCTGCGTCAAATTGAATGTGGATGCTAATTTTAAAATTAAAATTTTTCCAATATGTTTTTAAATATGAAAAACAAGTTTTTGAATAAGAAATTTGCTAAAATTAGCAAAAAAAAATATCAAGATGATAAACAAACTACTTTAGGTTAAACTTACAGTAATAACTCGTTTAATGTGATTCCTTGTTTATATGTATACTATAGACTAGACTATAGACTAGACTATAGACTAGACTAGACTAGACTATAGACTAGACTATAGACTAGACTATAGACTAGACTATAGACTAGACTATAGACTAGACTATAGACTAAGACTATAGACTAGACTATAGACTAGACTATAGACTAGACTATAGACTAGACTATAGACTATAGCTAGACTATAGACTATAGACTAGACTACTGACCTAGACTACTATAGACTAGACTATAGACTAGACTATAGACTAGACTACTAGAGCTAGACTATAGACTAGACTAGACTATAGACTAGACTATAGACTAGACTATAGACTAGACTATAGACTAGACTATAGACTAGACTATAGACTAGACTATAGACTAGACTATAGACTAGACTATAGACTAGACTATAGACTAGACTATAGACTAGACTATAGACTAGACTATAGACTAGACTATAGACTAGACTATAGACTAGACTAGACTATAGACTAGACTATAGACTAGACTATAGACTAGACTATAGACTAGACTATAGACTAGACTATAGACTAGACTATAGACTAGACTATAGACTAGACTATAGACTAGACTATAGACTAGACTATAGACTAGACTATAGACTAGACTATAGACTAGACTATAGACTAGACTATAGACTAGACTATAGACTAGACTATAGACTAGACTATAGACTAGACTATAGACTAGACTATAGACTAGACTATAGACTAGACTATAGACTAGACTATAGACTAGACTATAGACTAGACTATAGACTAGACTATAGACTAGACTATAGACTAGACTATAGACTAGACTACTATAGACTAGACTATAGACTAGACTCATAGACTAGACTATAGACTAGACTATAGACTAGACTATAGACTAGACTATAGACTAGACTATAGACTAGACTATAGACTAGACTATAGACTAGACTATATGACTAGACTATAGACTAGACTATAGACTAGACTATAGACTAGACTATAGACTAGACTATAGACTAGGACTATAGACTAGACTATAGACTAGACTATAGACTAGACTATAGACTAGACTATAGACTAGACTATAGACTAGACTATAGACTAGACTATAGACTAGCTATAGACTAGATATAGACTAGACTATAGACTAGACTATAGACTAGACCTATAGACTAACTATAGACTAGACTATAGACTAGACTATAGACTAGACTATAGACTAGACTATAGACTAGACTATAGACTAGACTATAGACTAGACTATAGACTAGACTATAGACTAGACTATAGACTAGACTATAGACTAGACTATAGACTAGACTATAGACTAGCCTAGACTAGACTATAGACTAGAGCTATAGACTAGACTATAGACTAGACTATAGACTAGACTATAGACTAGACTATAGACTAGACTATAAACTAGACTATAAACTAGACTATAAACTAGACTATAAACTGGACTATAGACTAAACTATGGACTAGACTGTAAACTTTAAGTAGCAAATTTTAAGCTTTTGACTCTGGTTTAATCCCAAAACGAGACGCTACTGTAACGCATTTAAAAATTATTATAATTGTCATTAAAATTTTTATTGTTTTTTACAAATTGCTAAAATATTTAAAGTAAATTAAAATGAAATTTCTTAAGATTCTTTAAAGAAAGTTATTTTTGGGAAGAACGTAACCGTACAACGGTTTTAAAATGAATTTGTTGTTATAAAACTAAAAAAATGTTTAAATGTTTATAAATTTTAAATGTTAAAAAAAATCTTTAGTTTTTATAAATATTAAAAAGAAGTTTCTCCAGGATACTCACTTATAAGCAGTTTCTTGCTAACCACATAATTCTCATTCTGTTCACAATTTTCCTTGTTTGAAGAAGAATTTGAATTTGTTGGAAAATTACAATTGATCTTTGGTTTGCTGCTTGTGGGAGAATTTAATTGTTTTGCTGCTAAACTTGTATGATAAGAAGTCTGAGCAGTAGTTGTGGGATTGGGTGATTGTGCATGACTGTTGAAAAGAGTAGAAGAGATTTTTTCCAAATCTTGGGTAGCAGCACGTTTACGTGCATTGTTAAGTATAACAAAGGGATTGTTGGCTAAACGATTTGTAGTTATTAAAGGTATATGAGTATTGTTACAACTGTTACTGCTATTGCTGCTAGAACTAGCACTAGTGCTACTATCACTACTACTGCTACCACTATTGGCACTGCTACTATTGCTACTGCTACTACCACAACTACTGCTGCTAACGGCTGTAACTGTTTTAAGTAAAGCCAATGTTGGAGTATTCATATCTTCATTGGTATGTGTGGTATCCTCGGTATCATCTTCATTATCTTCGAAATTTTCCGTTGTTGTTGTATTCGAATCATTTGTGATTTCAGGTCGATTACCATCTAAACAGTATAATAAACTGGAACTCAATTGATTCTCATCGATTTCTTCGATTTCATGTGAACTATCGAAATCATCCGAATGACTGGTAAATGAGGTATCCTCGGGGGGTGCGGTTAGAACACTACGTGTTAGTAGATATTCTCTGGAAATACACAAAGAAGTTCTTTCGAAAATTTAGTTTTTTTCTTAAAGGTAAAAAAAAATGCAAAAAGGAATTAAAAGCATATTAAAAATTAATTATATTTCTTAGAATTTATCAATTTTGATCACTTTAAAATGACCGGTTTGATCCCATCTATAAAAGTATTGATCACACTTTCTATAGAAGTGATCAGTATTGATCACCTTCTATTAAAACAAAAAGTGATCAATATTATACACTTACAATATTCTAAACAGAGTTCAGTTCTAGAACTGTTCAGTTCTAGTTCAGTTCAAGTTCAGTTCAAGTTCAGTTCAAGTTCAGTTCAAGTTCAGTTCAAGTTCAGTTCTAGTTCAGTTCTAGTTCAGTTCAAGTTCAGTTCAAGTTCAGTTCAAGTTCAGTTCTAGTTCAGTTCTAGTTCAGTTCTAGTTCAGTTCTAGTTCAGTTCTAGTTCAGTTCTAGTTCAGTTCTAGTTCAGTTCTAGTTCAGTTCTAGTTCAGTTCTAGTTCAGTTCTAGTTCAGATCTAGTTCAGTTCTAGTTCAGTTCTAGTTCAGTTCTAGTTCAGTTCTAGTTCAGTTCTAGTTCAGTTCTAGTTCAGTTCTAGTTCAGTTCTAGTTCAGTTCTAGTTCAGTTCTAGTTCAGTTCTAGTTCAGTTCTAGTTCAGTTCTAGTTCAGTTCTAGTTCAGTTCTAGTTCAGTTCTAGTTCAGTTCTAGTTCAGTTCTAGTTCAGTTCTAGTTCAGTTCTAGTTCAGTTCTAGTTCAGTTCTAGTTCAGTTCTAGTTCAGTTCTAGTTCAGTTCTAGTTCAGTTCTAGTTCAGTTCTAGTTCAGTTCTAGTTCAGTTCTAGTTCAGTTCTATTTCAGTTCTAGTTCAGTTCTAGTTCAGTTCTAGTTCAGTTCTAGTTCAGTTCTAGTTCAGTTCTAGTTCAGTTCTAGTTCAGTTCTAGTTCAGTTCTAGTTCAGTTCTAGTTCAGTTCTAGTTCAGTTCTAGTTCAGTTCTAGTTCAGTTCTAGTTCAGTTCTAGTTCAGTTCTAGTTCAGTTCTAGTTCAGTTCTAGTTCAGTTCTAGTTCAGTTCTAGTTCAGTTCTAGTTCAGTTCTAGTTCAGTTCTAGTTCAGTTCTAGTTCAGTTCTAGTTCAGTTCTAGTTCAGTTCTAGTTCAGTTCTAGTTCAGTTCTAGTTCAGTTCTAGTTCAGTTCTAGTTCAGTTCTAGTTCAGTTCTAGTTTAGTTCTAGTTTAGTTCTAGTTCAGTTCTAGTTCAGTTCTAGTTCAGTTCTAGTTCAGTTCTAGTTCAGTTCTAGTTCAGTTCTAGTTCAGTTCTAGTTCAGTTCTAGTTCAGTTCAGTTCTAGTTCAGTTCTAGTTCAGTTCTAGTTCAGTTCTAGTTCAGTTCTAGTTCAGTTCTAGTTCAGTTCAGTTCAGTTCTAATTCAGTTCTAGTTCAGTTCTAGTTCAATTCCAGTTCAGTTCTAAATCATTTAAGAAACCATGATATTTTCTACTTACTTAAAATGTTCCGTTAGGGCATCTGCATCGGTAGTATTATTTTCCTTTGGTACATTACTTTGGGAATTCGTTTGAGAGTCCGAGTCAGAACTTAAACCTAAAGCAACCGAATGTTGCTGGACAAAACTTTGATTGGCTTGCAATAATTGTTGACGTTTAAAAATATCCGAATAGCCACCCAAAGAGGTAGCATCTTCATTAATAATTTCCAGCTGAGGAGGAGCAGTAGTATTGCTGTCCATAATTGAATTCTCATCATCGTTAACATCATCCTCTTCATCTTCTGGTTGATCAATTTCCTCTTCATTGTGTTCTGGTTGTTCATGAAATTCCGATAAATAAGTTTGATTTATAGTTTGATTTTGATCAGTAGAACTGGTGGTGGTAGTGAGTACCATTACAGGTTTGCGGGAGCGGGGTGTCATAATGGATTCCTAAAATAAAATATAAAATATAATTTTTTTTTTATAAAATTATGTTAAATTTACAATGAGTGTTCTTTTTTTAAGGATTTATTTTTAATTCTACTATTTTACCTGCATAGCTTTGGGCATTCTTTGTGTTGACTTTGTTATAGGCGACATAGATCTGCGCCCTAGCAGTAGTGATGGTGTGCTGGTAACTAAATCCAAATTACGATGATAAAGATCACTTTGTTGCAATAACAATTGCTGATAAGCAGCCGGCCCTCCTGCAAAACAATTTGCCACTTCTGAAGAGTTACTACCACCAGCAGCTGCCATCAAACTTATATTATTTTCCCTAAGTATGTGGTGTTCTTCATTATCCTCATCCCTCTCGCTATCGACTTCAGTATCTGAATCACTTGCCTCATCTTCAAAGGTATCGTCATCATCTTCGATATCCTCATCATCCATATCTTGTAATAGAGGAGCATTACCACTTCTAATGGCTGCAGCAAAACTTCCTTCGGCTTGTTGATATATTTGAGAATCATCACTAGAACGTCTTTTCAAAGTAGAGGATACAGTGCGTACTAAACGTTTGGTAGACTCTGGGGTACTAAATGGAAACTTCAAGTTACCCATGCTTACGCCCTTCATTAACTTACGCGTTAGAGAACGTCCTGTTAAATGTTTAGCTATAGGTGTAATCATTTCATAACCTCCCTGGTTATGGGCTGTTGATGAGTTCGGTGTATCGCATATATTGTGTGATAAACTAAGATTTGGTTCTGACTTGTAACGAGATTTTAAATCATTTGAGGGTGTTTGTCTCAGAGGTGTAGAAGGATTAGAAATATGCTCTATATCTAGCAGATGAGCATCATCCCAAGCTACTGATTTTTTGTCTACACCAGGACCACCAGCACCTGTTATTAATTGCTTAGCGGCTTCTGATATTAATTTCAAAGGAGTAACACAACAATTGGGATCCAAATGTTGAGGCAAACCGGCCGTTAAACCCAATGACGAAGATGATGAGGTTGTGGAAATTATAGAAGTGTTAATTTGATGCTGTAAATCCGAAGATGTTTGACGACTAACAGGAGCCGATATAGATTTAGTTTGGCAAGCAAAACCATCACTACTACCACTATTGCTACTATGATGATGAAGATGCTGAGTCATAGCCGTATCATGTTCATCATTTACAGCAGCCCTCATATTTAGAGCATATTGTTGACCCATTAGTAATGAAGATGAGGATATAGATTTTTGTAATGGATGCGTTTTAATATTGTAAGGTGTATGACTGTTAGCTGTAGTTAGTGCAGATGATGATGAAGATACTGATGAGTTGTATGTTAATGCAGAAGTTGTTGTTGTGGTAGAAGTATTGGTGGCAAAGGGTTGAGGATTAGGACTTTGGAATAAAACTCTTTGTTTATGTGACTTCATGCTAGAGTTATTTGGAGTCTGTGTAGGTTATAGCGTAAGTTTGAAAAAATTGTAAAAGATTGATATGAAATTTTAGTTTTTAGTTTAAAAAACATGCCTTTTTGGGGAAATGATAAAATAATACTTACTTCTAATACTACTGTTGGTATGGCTTGACGTTTTGGTGTCCTTGACATTATACCCTTGTGGAATATATGTTTTTTAATCGAATCACTTAGCGATTTAGCTGTACGTGAAGTTTCGGAATTTTTAACACGATTCATGGCTTGTAATTGCAAGGGTGTTCCTAATAGAAAAGAAAGTAAAAATTGGGAACATAAGTTTTTTAAGTTCTAGTTATGTTCTAGTTCTTTTTTAGTTCAGTTCTAGTTTTGTTCTAGTTCTATTTTAGTTCTGTTCTAGTTCTAGTTCTGTTCTAGTTCTGTTCTAGTTCTGTTCTAGTTCTGTTCTAGTTCTGTTCTAGTTATGTTCTAGTTCTGTTCTAGTTCTGTTCTAGTTCTGTTCTAGTTCTGTTCTAGTTCTGTTCTAGTTCTGTTCTAGTTCTGTTCTAGTTCTGTTCTAGTACTGTTCTAGTTCTGTTCTAGTTCTGTTCTAGTTCTGTTCTAGTTCTGTTCTAGTTCTGTTCTAGTTCTGTTCTAGTTCTGTTCTAGTTCTAGTTCTGTTCTAGTTCTGTTCTAGTTCTGTTCTAGTTCTGTTCTAGTTCTGTTCTAGTTCTGTTCTAGTTCTGTTCTAGTTCAGTTCTAGTTCTGTTCTAGTTCTGTTCTAGTTCTGTTCTAGTTCTGTTCTAGTTCTGTTCTAGTTCTGTTCTAGTTCTGTTCTAGTTCTGTTCTAGTTCTGTTCTACTTTAGTTCTATTTAATTTCTCCTTTAAAGCTGAAGTACTGAACACTTTCTGTAAAAGCTATCTTACCTTGACCATTCTGTTTATTAAACTGTTTTATCAGTCTACGTTTCTTTGAGGATTCCGGCAGCGATTGTATATGAGCATACAACTGTGCCAACTCAGTGTCGGTGTTATTAGTATTATGAGCTGCTGCAGTTTTCTCACGATCAACAAATGTATACACTGTATTTACAGTTGATATATCCGATATGGAATCATCCAAAGTCATTTCGGGAGACATGGTTTTCTTACGTTTACGTTCCAGGAAATAGGCTCTAATATCGGTGGCCAATTTGGCCGGTACTGAAAATATATCCTGTCCTCTTATGATCATATAAGCTATAATACTAGACATTTTCTTGGCCAAATAGTGTAAAGCTTCGGGCGGTAAATTACGAGGACAAATGAGATGTGGTGCAAACAGTGTGGCCAAATTATCGGGACCCATTTTATTGAATTCATGTTGGCGTGCAACAGCATGTAACATATCGATAATGTTTTGTAATAATTGACGATTTTCATCGGGCAATAGGAGTAAAAGTAATTGTATGGAATTCAAAACATGTAATTCTTTTTTAATACGTTCGGCATTATTGGAAGTTGAGGTCTTATCCTGTTCCAGGTGATGATTAATGCCTAGACATAATGGTGCTATTTGCAAATGAGCTGGATAGTGGGCATCTGTTAGAAGAGGTTCTGGCAAATCGGCTAAATAACCTTTGAACACTGTGGCACAATCATGAGCCGAATAGCCAGCTGTCTCTAGTTCCAATGGCTTGTCATTTTGAATTTGTGCACGTAAATCGTTTTGTCGGGAAGCTGAACCAGTTTTGCGGAAAATACCTTCTTGTTGTAGATCTTAAATGAGGAAATGAGTTAGAATTCGATTAAAGGATTTAAAGGATATTTTATTTGTGATTAGAGACTAGTGCATAAATTGGACATTTTAATAAACCAACTTACTCTTTTCCAACATTAAAAACTCTTTCAATTCCTGCAAATGAAACAGAAATCCCGCATCAATCTGCTGATGTAAGCCCTCAATTGGACTGCCATTGTCACAATTACCATTGCCGCTATGGCCACTTTTATGGCCCACACCTACAGAAGCACAACCAGCCGAACCGGTAGCCAAGGCGGCAGCCATAACACCACCATGTTTATGTTTCTTACTCAAACGATTCCATTTCTTTAGTTTGCCCTTATCTTCATAAACAATTTCGTGACAGGGTAAATCGAATCTGAAACAATTTATTGTTGCAAAAGGAAGCCTTCCAATCCAAATTATATACAACTTACTCATCTGTATTTAAATCCAATTCAAATGATAAATGCATGCGCACCAAGGTTTTAAATTTCTCATAATTACATTTACGCATGCGTGCCACTATTTCGGCATCTCGTAATTCCGTAAAATTCAATGACTCCAAATCCATATTCCAATATTTAAAGCAAAATCAAAAACTAATATAATAACTTATAAATTCCCTCCACGGGGAATAGATTTTCTTATTTTCTATTTTACAAATGACACCACAAATGATTACAACAACAACAAATGTCAAACATTGAATTATTTTTTTTGTATCTTTATTTTAAAGCGAATTTTTTTATTTATATTTTATGTTTTTTTTTTTTTAACAATTATACTTCATTATATTATGTTTTTTTTATAAATCGAATAGATTTTGTCAAAAATTATTAAGCGATTGGTAAAAAAATTACTCTTTTACAACTTTTATTATAAATTAAATTTCTTTGCCACCTTAAAAAACCGCTGACTTTTTTTAAATAAAAAACCTGCGTCTCAGTGCTTTTCAAACTGTTGACAGCTTAAATAAAGCTGCCAGATTTAAGTCAATTAACAAGTTAGTGGCAACTGCAAGCAAATATTCGGTGAGATATTAATATTTTGTATAAAAATTTAGATTTTTAATAAAAAATCATGAATAAACGTTCTTTACCTTTTAGTTTTTATAAAATTTTCGGAGAAATAAATTTTTTTTTGATTAAAAAATATTTCTGATACTAGATATATGCAATTTTAGAGGTTTTTAAAACTTTGTTCGAACTATAGTAAAGTCTATATTATAATGTATAGGCTGGAATATAGTCTAGTCTATATTCTGCCCTATAGTATATTCTATAGTCTGTATTATAATCTGGACTATAGTTAAGTCTATAGTCCAAACGTTATATCTGTGGTTCTGGACTATAATCTCTAGTCTGGACTATAGTTTATTATAGTCTATTGGCTGGACTATAGACTAGTCTATAGTTTGGACTATAGTCTAGTCTATAGTCTGGACTATAGTTTAGTCTATAGTCTGGACTATAGTCTAGTCTATAGTCTGGACTATAATTTAGTCTATAGTCTGGACTATAGTTTATTATAGTCTATTGGCTGGACTATAGACTAGTCTATAGTTTGGACTATAGTCTAGTCTATAGTCTGGACTATAGTCTAGTCTATAGTCTGGACTATAGTCCAGTCTATAGTCTGGACTATAATTTAGTCTATAGTCTGGACTATAGTCTAGTCTATAGTCTGGACTATAGTCTAGTCTATAGTCTGGACTATAGTCTAGTCTATAGTCTGGACTATAGTCTAGTCTATAGTCTGGACTATAGTCTAGTCTATAGTCTGGACTATAGTCTAGTCTATAGTCTGGACTATAGTCTAGTCTATAGTCTGGACTATAGTCTAGTCTATAGTCTGGACTATAGTCTAGTCTATAGTCTGGACTATAGTCTAGTCTATAGTCTGGACTATAGACTGGACTATAGTCTATAGTCTGGACTATAGTCTATAGTCTGGACTATAGTCTATAGTCTGGACTATAGTCTATAGTCTGGACTATAGTCTATAGTCTGGACTATAGTCTATAGTCTGGACTATAGTCTATAGTCTGGACTATAGTCTGGACTATAGTCTGGACTATAGTCTATAGTCTGGACTATAGTCTATAGTCTGGACTATAGTCTATAGTCTGGACTATAGTCTATAGTCTGGACTATAGTCTATAGTCTGGACTATAGTCTATAGTCTGGACTATAGTCTATAGTCTGGACTATAGTCTATAGTCTGGACTATAGTCTATAGTCTGGACTATAGTCTATAGTCTGGACAATAGTTTATAGTCTGGACTATAGTCTATAGTCTGGACTATAGTCTATAGTCTGGACTATAGTCTATAGTCTGGACTATAGTCTATAGTCTGGACTATAGTCTATAGTCTGGACTATAGTCTATAGTCTGGACTATAGTCTATAGTCTGGACTATAGTCTATAGTCTGGACTATAGTCTATAGTCTGGACTATAGTCTATAGTCTGGACTATAGTCTATAGTCTGGACTATAGTCTATAGTCTGGACTATAGTCTATAGTCTGGACTATAGTCTGGACTATAGTCTATAGTCTGGACTATAGTCTATAGTCTGGACTATAGTCTATAGTCTGGACTATAGTCTATAGTCTGGACTATAGTCTATAGACTAGACTGGACTATAGTCCTAGATTATAGTCCAGTGTAGACGCTAGTATATGCTCTGTTTTGTTTTAAAACACACAACATACAAACCTTTATCTGACAAGTTTAGTCTATTAATGAATCAATTTGATAATTATTCGATTTCATTTTTTATTTTATTATAAAGTTTATATATAACCATAAATCCATATATATTTGATATTTAATATAAAATAATATTTGTAATTATTGGTGAAAAGTAACCGAATAAGAATTGAATTAATAATTGTAATGAATACGCTTGGTATTTAATATTTTCTTTGATATTAAATACAGCATATTTTACTTTAAACATTACAAAATAGAAATTCAATCAATATTCAATCAAATTTCATGTTTTAGTATATAAAATTTTGAATATTTATATGTTTAAGGGTTAATGGGTATTAGTTTAAATAAAGTGATAAATATATAAATAAAGACAATTTCAATGCAAAAACGTTTTAGCACAATAACAAATTAAATCAATTTCAATACGATTAAGAAATTATATTTCTTAAGAAAAAAAAAACTTAAGAGATTCGATTAAAATTATTTAAATTCGGGAAACAAACAAAAGTGTTTCATGATAAACGTCTAGTCCAAATCTTCACCTTTAAATGTTCTTTTAAATTTCAAGATCCTGAGACTTAGGAAATCTTGAAACTAACTTTAAGTTTCAAACTTCTAACTAGTTTCCTTCTTAGAGCTAATAGAAATGTTAATAATTTAGGGTTTTAGGATTCAAACATTGTTAGTACTAAAAGGGACCAATAAAATTGTATACCATAAATGATCTTTTAACTACCAAAATCCCGAGACTTTAGAAATATGTATTAAAATGTTTGAAATTAAACTTTTAGTTTCAAATTTGTAACAAGTTTTTGTCTCGCCTTCTTAGGGTTAATAGTCATTTTGAATAATTTAGGTTTTTAAGGTTAGGTCTAAAAGGGATCAATCAAATCATTATCCCTAAATGATCTCTTAAATCCTAATATCGCGAGAATTAAAATACAAGTCTTCTCTAGCTCACCCTCTCAGTGTTAAAAGGAATATTGATCCAAACAAATCTCTCAAATCCCTAGATTCTGGATCTCCTCTTCTAAAAAAAATAATACTCTGATGTCTATACAACCGAATTTTTGTCTCTATTCCATAGAGTTTAATATAAAAATTCAGTTAAATAAGTTTCTGTTTCTCTTTTACTCTCTCTCTCTTAAACCCACCTCTAGAACTATATATATAGTTCAGGGGGATTTATACGATTCAAAAGCAAAAGCTTTCGAAAAACGAGAGTAAAGAGTATTTTAGCAGTCATTAACGTTTATAACGTCAAAGACTTTTCAGAGATCATTGGTTGCTAACTGACGATAGTGTGAAAGTTCTGTTGCGACCAAGAACTTTCAAAAGATTTGATTAAATGCTTTACTATCTCAACATAAGTATATACCCAGACTTAGAAATACACTAATGTTAAGAGGCCCCAAATAGACGTCAATCGAGTTTTGGTTTTAAAAACCAAACGCATTGACTTTAGTTTCAAAGATTTAGACTGACTACAGACTGGATAATAGTCTAGATTTTTTACTAAACTACAGTCCATATTATGGTTTAGACAACAGTCCAGACTTTAGTTTGGACAACGGTATAGGCTTCACTTTATACTAGACAACAGTCCAGACTATAGACTAGACAACAGGCTAGATTTTAGACTAGACTTTTGACTAGACAGGATAATAGTCTATATTTTTGACTGGACTACAGTCCGGAATATAGACTAAAAAATAATCCATATTATGGACTAGACGACAGTCCAGACTATAGGCAACAATTCATAATATTGCCTAGACTGCAGTACAGATTATGGACTACACAACAGTCCAAAATATAGACTAGACGACAGTCCAGACTATAGACAAGGCAACAGTACAGACTATAGACCGGATAATAGTCCAGATTTAGGACTATACGACTGTCCAGCCTTTAGTTAAGACAATAGTCAAGACTATAGAAATCAACATTCTTGACTATATACTGAATAATAGTCTAGACTTTTGACTAGATTTTAGTCTAAATTATAGACTAGAGTTCAGACTATAGACTAGAGTTCAGACTATAGACTAGACTACAACCTAGGCTATAGACTTGACTATATACTACACAACAGTTCGGATTATAAACTGGATAATAGTCTAGACCTTTGACTAGACTACAGTCCAAATTATGGACTATTCAACAGTCCAAACTACAGACAACCTTCCTCACTATATAACCTTTCCTTTCTTTTTATAGAAGATGTTCTATTTAAAGATTAGCTATTTCCCGAATTCGAGTACTTATACTTAAACGTTTTATGCTATAATGATGCAAATCATAAAATTGTCTTTAAAATAAGAAAGATAAAGTGTTAGAGCGCATAAATAAAGAAACATTTTAGGGAAATTACATTTCCACATTCCTTTAGGAAATAACACATGAATTATCTTTCTTTTCTTTCTGTTTTCGTTCAAAAGATAAATTACGAGTGGGTCGATTATACATCGAATCAATGTTTATAGAATCCTGATAATAAATGTTATATGGTGGTGCTGATGGAGCGTAACTTGGTGAGTTATGATTATTAGTAGTTAAGCTACTAGTTGGACGATTAGTATTAAAGGATGAATTAAGAGAACTTGCTGTAGATGTAGTAGTTAAACTACTAGTTGGACGATTCAATGTAGAAGCTGTAGAGTTCGTTGAAGCAACTGATGTAGCTCTATTAAAGTTAATATTATTGGAAGTAGTTAAACTAATAGTTGGACGATTGATATTATAGGATGAAGTAAAAGAGTTTGCTGTAGACGTAGAAGTAGCTACAGGGGTAGTTTTGTTTAGGGTGGGATATATATTAGCAGTGCTGCTAATTGGTTTATTAGCCCCAATATTGTTAGAAACTGTTGCAGTACTGGCTTTAGGAGCCACTGTTTTGGTAATCGGACTAACAGCTCCAGTAGTATATGAAGATGTTACCGAATTACTTGGCCTAGCTGCTGTATTGCTAGTAAGATTTGTTTTTGGTATTGCTCCAAATTTTGTCTTATTAGTATTGTCACTATTTACCTTTGCACTTGCATGTATATTAGCAGCAATTTTTGTGGGTTTCTTTGTTGCATTAACTGCGTTGGCATTTCTAGCTTTGTTAGCATACACTTTAGTGACCCCAGATGTTTTCTGCTTATTATTGTTGTTATCTTTTCTATTATAATTATTCTTAGCCGAATTTCTATTATTTGTATTGGCCTTATTAGCAGCATTCACAGCTGCTCCATTATTATTATCTTTGTTTCTATTCGCCGTAGTATCGTTGGGAACATTAACGTTTGGTAAACGGAAATTATTTGCATTATTGACAACAGTTGCATTAGGTGTCGAAGCAAATGGTGAAGTATATTGCAAAGGCTGTTGATTAAAATGTTGCTGTTGACTCATGAATGGTATATTTGTTGGAGGACAATGGCCGGCTGTTGGTATTTTGAAAAAGGAATCGTTAGTATTTGAATAAGAACTATTAGACCAATGATGTAATTGTTGTTGTTGTAATTGTTGATGTTGTTGAAATTGTAAGTGTTGTTGTTGCCTTTGCATGTTTTCAAAATATTGCTGTTGTTGTTGTCTCATTTGCATTAGTTGTTCATTTGTATAGGTAACAGCTTTTTTTGAATTTACTGTTGTAGTAGTAGTGTTCAGTGTAGTCAGTGGCACTTTAGGTAATTCATCGAATAATGATTCGATTTTATTTTTTTCAGGCATTTTACTACTGCTACTATTATTATCAACATTTTTTTGTTTACCTTTACCATATTGCTTGGTAATTTTGCCACTTTTTGCTCCGGCTCTATTGTTTAATTGGCGTTTATTTTTGTCTGCAAATTAATAAATATATGTATATGTAAGTAATATTTCGGCAGACATACAGATTAATCTAAGATTAGTCTAAGCTATAGTATATAAACTAATCTACAGGCTAACTAAACTGAACTAGAACTGAACTGGAACTGTACTAGAACTGAACTAGAACTGAATTAGAACTGAACTAGAACTGAATTAGAACTGAACTAGAACTGAACTAGAACTGAACTACAACTGAACTAGAACTGAACTAGAACTGAACCAGAACTGAACTAGAACTGAACTAGAACTGAACTAGAACTGAACCAGAACTGAACCAGAACTGAACCAGAACTGAACCAGAACTGAACTGGAACTGTACTAGAACTGAACTAGAACTGAACTAGAACTGAACTAGAACTGAACTAGAACTGAACTAGAACTGAACTAGAACTGAACTAGAACTGAACTACAACTGAACTACAACTGAACTAGAACTGAACTAGAACTGAACCAGAACTGAACCAGAACTGAACCAGAACTGAACTAGAACTGAACTAGAACTGAACTAGAATTGAACTAGAACTGAACTAGAATTGAACTAGAACTGAACTGAACTAGAACTGAACTAGAACTGAACTAGAACTGAACTAGAACAGAACTAGAACTGAACTAGAACTGAACTAGAACTGAACTAGAACTGAACTAGAACTGAACTAGAACTGAACTAGAACTGAATTAGAACTGAACTAGAACTGAACTAGTATTGTACTAGAACTGAAATAGAACTGAACTAGAATTGAACCAGAACTGAACTAGAACTGAACTAGAACTGAACTAGAACTGAACTAGAACTGAACTAGAACTGAACTAGAACTGAACTAGAACTGAACTAGAACTGAACTAGAACTGAATTAAAACTGAACTACAACTGAACTAGAACTGAGCTACAACTGAATTAGAACTGAACTAGAACTGAACTGCAACTGAACTAGAACTGAACTAGAACTGAACCAGAACTGAACCAGAACTGAACTGAACTGAACTAGAACTGAACTAGAACTGAACTAGAACTGAACTAGAACTGAACAAGAACTGAACTAGAACTGAACTAGAACTGAACTAGAACTGAACTAGAACTGAACTGAACTAGAACTGAACTAGAACTGAACTAGAACTGAACTAGAACTGAACTGAACTAGAACTGAACTAGAACTGAACTAGAACTGAACTAGAACTGAACTAGAACTGAACTAGAACTGAACTAGAACTGAACTAGAACTGAACTAGAACTAGAACTGAACTAGAACTGAATTAAAACTGAACTAGAACTGAACTACAACTGAACTAGAACTGAACTAGAACTGAGCTACAACTGAATTAGAACTGAACTAGAACTGAACTGCAACTGAACTAGAACTGTACCAGAACTGAACTGATCTAGAACTGAACTAGAACTGAACTAGAACTGAACAAGAACTGAACTAGAACTGAACTAGAACTGAACTAGAACTGAACTAGAACTGAACTAGAACTGAACTAGAACTGAACTAGAACTGAACAAGAACTAGAATTGAACTAAAACAGAACTAGACTGTATGTAGTCTTAGCTATAAAATGTACTCTTACCATTTCTTTTCTTTCCAGATGTAGAAGGTTTACTGCTAGTTTCACTAATATCATCCTCTTCATCATCGTCATCGTCATCATCGTCTTCGTCTTTATCATCCACAGTTGTATCCTTATTCTCATTCGAAATTTTATTCTTATTATTAGACTTTCTACCTCCACGTTTTCGTCCACGACTTTTTCTTGAATTTTTAGTAGTTTTCTGCTCTTCTTTTTCGCCATTTTTATTCTCTACACTTAGAGCTTTCATATTATCATTTAAAAGTTTTAGCAAATCATCGTCAGCTTTTGTAGTATTTTCCTTTTTGGCTTCTGCACCTCCTGCTCCACCTGCAAAGCCTCTTGGTGGCCCTATACCACCCACAAACGTATTATTACGTTGACACTCTTTTATTATATACTCAAAATCACTATTTAAACTTAAAGTTTGTGGATTTCCCACCATAATTAAAATAGATTTTGGACGTGATATAGTAACGTTTAAACGCTAAAAAGTAAGAGATTTGTTTAACAACATCAAATTTGAGTATTATATTAATTTAATTAAAACTTACTCTTGGATTATCCAAGAAACCCAAATTACGAGTGCCAGAACGTACAAATGATACAATTATTATATCCTTTTCTTTACCCTGAAACGTTTCCACCGAACCAGTTTCAATACCAAACCATTTGCGTATATTTAGCTCTTCCTGTATGCGTCTATATTGTTTTTTATAAGGCGATATAATGCCAATATCACTCTCTTGCACCGGCTTGCCATTTATGCCAAAATACATGAGATCTTTAACATAATCCATTACTACTTCCAGCTCTCGGAGATTATATAAACTGCAAAAGATTTAAATTAAATTCAATTAAGTTTAAGGAATTTTTGAAATAGGAAAGTACTACTTACCTATGCGATTGATAGTCGGAATGAGAGGGCTCATATATAGCATGGAATATTATAGGATATTGTTTATTACGCGATTTGTGCCAAAGTTCACATGAGGAAACATCATCTGTAAGGCAAATAAAATAATAAAATCGAAATATATATAATAATCTGCTATATATAATTACCCTTCTTAGCAAACGATTCCAAACTATGATTATAGTAGAGACCACTATATAAATTAACAATAGCGGGATGAGAACGATAGTTACGTATCAAACGTGTCTGTATGGTGCGATCATAATCGCCCGTATCAACATCGACACGATAACAATCACGATCTAATAAACGATCCATTAACGATACATCTAGACCCAATTCTTTGGCACGTTTCGATTGTAGAATCGGACCCAATTGTTTATGATCACCGGATATAATTAGACATGATTTCGGTGTCAAAACTGTAGTTATACCTATTAAAGCTTCAGCTTCCATTGAGGCGGCAACCTCATCAATAAATAAATGCGTATACAAAGTTGCACCATTTTCTTGGCGACCAAATTTTCCTGTTGCCAATTTCGCTAAAACCGACAGCGTACACACAACAATACGATATTCATGTAATACCTCGATATCAGGATAGAATTGTCTATTGTACATATTGGAATTTTCCAATAGTTCATCATCGATTGTTTCGGTGCGAATTTCCGATGAACGTGAATAGATGCGTACCATGGCTCGGGGAATATCTAATTGTTTTAGATATTTACACAAACGTAAGGCTACTTCATCGCAAGCACTGTTCGAGCTAGCAGTAACTAATATTTTGGTATTCGGTTTCTTTAAAAGTTGTAAAATGGACTCGACTATGGTGGTAGTTTTGCCAGTACCTAAAATGGAAATGGAAACAAGGTATAGTTTATAGTCGTCTATAGTCTGAATTTTAGTCTAGTTTCCAACCTGAACCTGTCTTTAGTCTAGTCTACAGTCAAGACTATAGTCAAGTCTATAGTCTAGTCTATAGTCTAGTCTACAGTCTAGTCTATAGTCTAGTCTATTGTCTAGTCTATAGTCTAGTCTATAGTCTAGTCTATAGTCTAGTCTATAGTCTAGTCTATAGTCTAGTCTAGTCTATAGTCTAGTCTATAGTCTAGTCTGTAGTCTTGTCTATAGTCTAGTCTATAGACTAGTCTATAGTCTAGTCTATAGTCTAGTCTATAGTCTAATCTATAGTCTAGTCAATAGTCTAATCTATAGTCTAGTCTACAGTCTAGTCTATAGTCTAGTCTATAGTCTAGACTATAGTCTAGTATATAGTCTAGTCTATAGTTTAGTCTATAGTCTAGTCTATAGTCTAGTCTATAGTCTAGTCTATAGTTTAGTCTATAGTCTAGTCTATAGTCTAGTCTATAGTCTAGTCTATAGTTTAGTCTATAGTCTAGACTATAGTCTAGTCTATAGTTTAGTCTAAAGTTTAGTTTATAATATAGTTTATAGTCCAGTCTCTAGTATAGTTTATAGTCCAGTCTGATGTCTAGTCTATAGTCTAGTCTATAGTCTGGTTTATAGTCTGGTCTATAGTCTAGTCTATAGTCAAGTCTATAGTCAAGTCTATTGTCTAGTCTATAGTCTAGTCTATAGTCTAGTCTATAGTCTAGTCTATAGTCTAGTCTATAGTCTAGTCTATAGTCTAGTCTATAGTCTAGTCTAGTCTATAGTCTAGTCTATAGTCTAGTCTATAGTTTAGTCTATAGTCTAGACTATAGTCTAGTCTATAGTTTAGTCTATAGTTTAGTTTATAATATAGTTTATAGTCCAGTCTCTAGTATAGTTTATAGTCCAGTCTGATGTCTAGTCTATAGTCTAGTCTAGTCTATAGTCAAGTCTATTGTCTAGTCTATAGTCTAGTCTATAGTCTAGTCTATAGTCTAGTCTATAGTCTAGTCTATAGTCTAGTCTATAGTCTAGTCTATAGTCTAGTCTATAGTCTTGTCTATAGTCTAGTCTATAGTCTAGTCTATAGTCTAGTCTATAGTCTAGTCTATAGTCTAGTCTATAGTCTAGTCTATAGTCTAGTCTATAGTCTAGTCTATAGTCTAGTCTATAGTCTAGTCTATAGTCTAGTCTATAGTCTAGTCTATAGTCTAGTCTATAGTCTAGTCTGTAGTCTAGTCTATAGTCTTGTCTATAGTCTAGTCTATAGTCTAGTCTATAGTCTAGTCTATAGTCTAGTCTATAGTCTAGTCTATAGTCTGGTCTATAGTCTAGTCTATAGTCTAGTCTATAGTCTAGTCTATAGTCTAGTCTATAGTTTAGTCTATAGTCTAGTCTATAGTCTAGTCTATAGTCTAGTCTATAGTTTAGTCTATAGTGTAGTCTATAATTTAGTCTATAGTCTACTTTATAATCCACTCTATAGTCTATTTTATAATCTAGTCTACAGTCTAGTCTATAGTCCAGTCTACAGTCTAGTCTATAGTTTAGTCTATATAGTCTATTGTCTAGTCTATAGCCTAGTCTATAGTCTAGTCTATAGCCTAGTCTATAGTCTAGTCTATAGTCTAGTTTATAGTCTAGTCTATAGTCTAGTTTATAGTCCAGTCTTTAGTATAGTTTATAGTCCTGTCTAATGTCTAGTCTATAGTCTTATGTCTAGTTTATAGTCTAGTTCGGTATATAGTCCAGTCTATAGTCTAGCCTATAGTCTAGTCTATATTTTATAAAATTGTTACTTACCGGGTGGACCAAATACAATATACGTAGCATCATTACGTGGACCTTCAGCTATATTACGCACCGCTTGTAATTGCTCCCCGCTTATATTTTTATTATACAAATCCAAACTAAAGCAAAAGGTCAAAATTATTTAAAAAAATAATAAAAATAAAAGTTTGAACATTTAAAAAAAATAGATATATATCGACTGTGATCTCTTACCTAACCCTCGATAATGGTCGTGGCATTATTTTAGAAGGAAATAGAAATTTCTTTAAAAAATCCATAGCAATTGGCAACAACTCGAGCGAACGATATTGATAACGAAAATTTAAACGTGATGGCCGACATATAATCGTATATGAACCGTGTATATTAATTTTTTTATCACATTTAAAGCTAATACGACCCGTATTGACAGCCTGTATTAGACCAACAAATGTATTCTTCATACGATTAATATCGCTCTTATTCTGCAGCATTAATTGCATTATATCTTCGGATTTTGCCAAGATATCAGTACGAGTGGTGAGTATTACCTCATCATAAGCTGATAATATATTCTCAATAAAGACACGTTGTTTGGGTTTAAGCTGAAATGTTATAAAAATATTTATAACATGAATATAATTTAAAATTTTTATTTCAATTACCTGAAAACTATATTCATCACCATAACTACGTAATTTTATATTCTTTTGCGTTAATTGCAGATATTGTTGTATGGTGTCCATATCTTCTATTTGCAATAGTATATTTATCGAAGCTCCTATATTATGAGGCTGTAATGTTTTGCCATTACGTACATAGTCGCGGAATTCATTAGATGTTTTCATGAGTTTCTCATAATAGAAATCATCCTTTAAAGCATCTTGAATTTCTTTTGGTGGATAATAGTCGGCTAATTGGAATTTTGGTTTAAAAATTCTAAAGACGAAGAAGAAGTAGTGAAGTTTTTTGTTTAATGCAAGTTTAAAATTTAGTCAAAAATTCTTATAAAATTTGCCTATAGTCTGAAGTCTAGTTTATAATGTAGACTATATGCAGTCGAGTCTAAAGTTTGGTCTATAGTCTGGACTATAATCTAGTCTATAGTCTAAAATATAGGCTAGTTTCCAGTCAGGAATTTAGTCTGGACTAAAGTGTTGTCTTTAGACAGGACTATTGTCTAGTCTATAGTCTACTCTATGATCTGGTTTATAGTCTAGTCCAGAGGTCGGCAAACTATGGCTCGCGAGCCAAATGCGGCTCTTTGGATGTGGAGCTGTGGCTCTTTAGTTTCATACACAAATTTTATTTATTTTATAAAAAAATATTTGTATGCATATTTTAAAATCTTTCCGAATCGATTAACGAGCAATGTATTAAAACTAACAAAACACTTCGCAAACGTTTCTACAATATACAAAACTTTTTAACTTTGCTTAATCGTTCTGTACATGAACAAAACAAAAACAAATACTTTTTATGTGAGAAAGAAAGAACACAATTAGCTTTACGCTCATTTCCTTGCTTTTATTTGTCCCTACAATTATACATTTGAGAATAAATCCTCATTGAGCCATTTGAAATTGGTATTGGATCTCTAGAAATGCAGTTGATCAATTTAAAAAGTAAAGCTTTGTGTTTTGGAAAATTGTCAAAGTTTAAAAGCAAGTTGGAAGATTTAGGTAAAATCTAAAATGAAAATTTAGAGTCATTTTTGAAACTTTAAACAACAAGTTATGATCCAAGCTTTCTAAAGCCATACAAACCTATCATTCCCATTGAATTTGTTCCATGTACAAGTTAATATTGTAAGAAAATGTTTAATTCTTTAAAGTGTTAATTGAAAAGTTCCCTATAAACGAATGGGGTATCATATCAGTGATTAGATAAGATGTAAATCATGATCATACATTCCGAAATTTTCGTGTTTTTCGAATTAAAACATATATTTTGGAAATTTAAAATGTAGTAATTAATTAATAATGTGGAGAATTTTGATACAGTTAAATACTAAAAACTTAGTCTATCTCAAAACTTTAAACTTTAATCTTTTTTTATAAAAAGGTGCAAAAAATTATAAATTTTTATATATTGCACGTTTTAATGACAGTGATCTATGAAAGATTGATATATTTTTGACATAAAATTTTTGCCTATAAATAAGGGACCAGAAAAAGTATTAAGGACCCATCCTTACAAAATTTGGTAATGAAGTTTTGGATCCTATTAAACTTGTTTGTGTTGATTTTCATCACTATACTTGTATTTTAGCCTGTTGTATGTCGGAACTTTCGAAAGTGGACTCCATATGGGGGGAAGGGTCAATTTTGAATCCATCCTTATTAAATTTGGTACAGATATTTTTTTTGTTCTTATAAAATCTGTTTTTTGTCGAATTTTGTCGCTTACTGCTATTATTAAGTCACTTAAGAGCGATAGGGTAATTTTCTAATGGAGATCTAATATGGGGGGTAGGATCAATTATGAGCCGACCGTACCCAAATTTGGTAAAGTGATTATTGTTTCTGTTTGTGTTGAATTTCGTCATAAAATTGCCATTATTAAGCCAGTTATGATAAAATCAAATTTGGAAGATAGATTTTTGTTCTTATACAACTTGTTTATGTCGAATTTCGTCTCTATACTGCTACTGTCAAGTCAATTATGATCGTTAGAGTAATTTTCTGAATTGGGGTTGGTCAATTATGGTTCAATGACCGCAATACATCACAGTAAATTTTTTGTTTGTATAAAAAAAATTGTGCAAAATTTTATCTCGATTGCTGCCTAATTATATCACTGTCGCTCCACTCTAATAAACTGTTATATATTTATATAACAAGTGTTAAAAAACGCATTCGAATGACCCATAAAAATTCTAAAAGTGTTTCTAGTCAAAAATCTATAAGAAAGATTCCTTGCAAAATCGTCTTGTAGATAATTAAACAAAAAATATGTTTTTGAAGTGAATTCATAAAGTATTTGTAATGTTTTAATAAACAAACATTTTGTGGCTCTTTTAAAACCCATGTTTTGTAAACTGTAAATTTTGGCTCTTCAGACTCAAAAGTTTGCCGACCCCTGGTCTAGTCTATAGTCCAATACATAGTTTTGTCTATACTCTAGTCAGTAGTCAAGTCTAGGATATAGTATAGTTCTTAGTCCTAGCCAGTAGTCAAGTCTACAATCTGGTCTATAGTGTAGTAATAGTGTAGACTATCGAGTAGTCTATAGTCCAGTCTATAGTCCCCTATCTAGTCCCTAGTCTATAGCTAGTCTATAGTCTAGTCTATAGTCTAGTCTATAGTCTAGTCTTCTATAGTCTAGTCTATAGTCTAGTCTATAGTCCTAGTCTATAGTCTAGTCTATAGTCTAGTCTATAGTCTAGTCTATAGTCTAGTCTATAGTCTAGTCTATAGTCTAGTCTATAGTCTAGTCTATAGTCTAGTCTATAGTCTAGTCTATAGTCTAGTCTATAGTCTAGTCTATAGTCTAGTCTAGTCTATAGTCTAGTCTATAGTCTAGTCTATAGTCTAGTCTATAGTCTAGTCTATAGTCTAGTCTATAGTCAGTCTATAGCCTAAGTCTATAGTCTAGTCCATAGTCTAGTCTATAGTCCTAGTCTATAGTCTAGTCTATAATCTAGTCTATAGTCTAGTCTATAGTCTAGTCTATAGTCTAGTCTATAGTCTAGTCTATAGTCCAGTCTATAGTCTAGTCTATAGTCTAGTCTAGTCTATAGTCTAGTCTAGTCTATAGTCTAGTCTATAGTTTAGTCTATAGTCTAGTCTATAGTCTAGTCTATAGTCTAGTCTATAGTCTAGTCCTATAGTCCTAGTCTAGTCTATAGTCTAGTCTATAGTCTAGTCTATGGTCTAGTCTATAGTCTAGTCTATAATCTAGTCCTATAGTCTAGTCTATGGTCTAGTCTATAATCTAGTCTACTCTATAGTCTAGTCTATGGTCTAGTCTATAGTTTAGTCTATAATCTAGTCTATAATCTAGTCTATAGTCTAGTCTATAGTCTAGTCTATAGTATAGTCTATAGTATAGTCTATAGTCTAGTCTATAGTCTAGTCTATAGTCTAGTCTATAGTCTAGTCTATAGTCTAGTCTATAGTCTAGTCTATAGTCTAGTCTATAGTCTAGTCTATAGTCTAGTCTATAGTCTAGTCTATAGTCTAGTCTATAGTCTAGTCTATAGTCTAGTCTATAGTCTAGTCTATAGTATAGTCTAGTCTATAGTCTAGTCTATAGTATAGTCTATAGTATAGTCTATAGTCTAGTCTATAGTCTAGTCTATAGTCTAGTCTATAGTCTAGTCTATAGTCTAGTCTATAGTCTAGTCTATAGTCTAGTCTATAGTCTAGTCTATAGTCTAGTCTATAGTCTAGTCTATAGTATAGTCTAGTCTATAGTCTAGTCTATAGTCTAGTCTATAGTCTAGTCTATAGTCTAGTCTATAGTCTAGTCTATAGTCTAGTCTAGTCTATAGTCTAGTCTATTCTATCGTCTAGTCTATAGTCTAGTCTATAGTCTAGCTCTATAGTCTAGTCTATAGTCTAGTCTATAGTCTAGTCCTATAGTCTAGTCCTATAGTCTAGTCTATAGTCTAGTCTATATGCTAGTCTATAGTCTAGTCTCTAGTCTAGTCTATAGTCTAGTCTATAGTCTAGTCTATAGGTCTAGTCTATAGTCTAGTCCTATAGTCTAGTTCTATAGGTCAGTCTATAAGTCTATTCTATAGTCTAGTCTATAGTGTCTAGGTCTATAGTCTAGTCTATAGTCTAGGTCCTATATCCTAGTCCTATAGTCTAGCTCTATAGTCTAGTCTATAGTCTAGTCTATAGTCTAGTCTATAGTCTAGTCTATAGTCTAGTCTATAGTCTTGTCTATAGTCTAGTTCTATAGCCTAAGTCCTATAGGTCTAGTCTATAGTCTAGTCTATAGTCAGTCTATATCCCTAGTCTAGGTCTATTAGTCTAGTCCTATAGTCTGTCTAGTTCTATAGTCTAGTAGTCTAGTTCTATAGTCTTAGTCTATAGTCTAGTCTATAGTCTAGTCTAGTCTATGTCTAGTCTAGTCTATAGTCTAGTCTATAGTCTAGTCTATAGTCTAGTCTATAGTCTAGTCTATAGTCTAGTCTATAGTCTAGTCTATAGTCTAGTCTATAGTCTAGTCTATAGTCTAGTCTATAGTCTAGTCTATAGTCTAGTCTATAGTCTAGTCTATAGTCTAGTCTATAGTCTAGTCTATAGTCTAGTCTAGTCTAGTCTATAGTCTAGTCTATAGTCTAGTCTATAGTCTAGTCTATAGTCTAGTCTAGTCTATAGTCTAGTCTATAGTCTAGTCTATAGTCTAGTCTATAGTCTAGTCTATAGTCTAGTCTATAGTCTAGTCCTATAGTCTAGTCTATAGTCTAGTCTATAGGTCTAGTCTATAAGTCTAGTCTATAGTCTAGTCTATAGTCTAGTCTATAGTCCTAGTCTATAGTCTGTCTATAGTCTAGTCTATAGTCTAGTCTATAGTCTAGTCTATTCTATAGTCTAGTCTAATCTAGTCTATAATCTAGTCGATAGTCTAGTCTATAGTCTAGTCTATAGTCTAGTCTATAGTCTAGTCTATAGTCTAGTCTATAGTCTAGTCTAGTATAGTCTAGTCTATAGTCTAGTCTATAGTCTAGTCTATAGTCTAGTCTATAGTCTAGTCTATAGTCTAGTCTATAGTCTAGTCTATAGTCTAGTCTATAGTCTAGTCTATAGTCTAGTCTATAGTCTAGTCTATAGTCTAGTCTATAGTCTAGTCTATAGTCTAGTCTAGTCAAGTCTAGTCTATAGTCTAGTCTATAGTCTAGTCTAGTCAATAGTCTAGTCTATAGTCTAGTCTATAGTCTAGTCTATAGTCTAGTCTATAGTCTAGTCTATAGTCTAGTCTATAGTCTAGTCTATAGTCTAGTCTATAGTCTAGTCTATAGTCTAGTCTATAGTCTAGTCTATAGTCTAGTCTATAGTCTAGTCTATAGTCTAGTCTATAGTCTAGTCTATAGTCTAGTCTATAGTCTAGTCTATAGTCTAGTCTATAGTCTAGTCTATAGTCTAGTCTATAGTCTAGTCTATAGTCTAGTCTATAGTCTAGTCTATAGTCTAGTCTATAGTCTAGTCTATAGTCTAGTCTATAGTCTAGTCTATAGTCTAGTCTATAGTCTAGTCTAGTCATAGTCTAGTCTATAGTCTAGTCTAGTCTATAGTCTAGTCTAGTCTATAGTCTAGTCTATAGTCTAGTCTATAGTCTAGTCTAGTCTATAGTCTAGTCTATAGTCTAGTCTATAGTCTAGTCTATAGTCTAGTCTATAGTCTAGTCTATAGTCTAGTCTATAGTCTAGTCTATAGTCTAGTCTAGTCTATAGTCTAGTCTATAGTCTAGTCTATAGTCTAGTCTATAGTCTAGTCTATAGTCTAGTCTATAGTCTAGTCTATAGTCTAGTCTATAGTCTAGTCTATAGTCTAGTCTATAGTCTAGTCTATAGTCTAGTCTATAGTCTAGTCTATAGTCTAGTCGATAGTCTAGTCTAGTCAATAGTCTAGTCTATAGTCTAGTCTATAGTCTAGTCTATAGTCTAGTCTATAATTTAGTCTATAATCTTGTCTATAGTCTAGCCTTTATTCTAGTCTATAGTCTAGCCTATATTCTAGTCTATAGTCTAGTCTTTAGTCTGGACTATAGTCTATTCTGGAGTATGGTTTATAGTCCGTAATTAATTATATATTTTAAAATTTACTTACTTTTTATCCGGTAAACGATAAGGATTAATAGAAAAATTCACTTTTGGAAATTCCTCAGAACGCTGTAAACAAGAAAATAACCAAATGTATATTTTTATTTTTTTTATAAAAATATTAAAAACTTTTTTTAAATTTACCATAAAATGATGTTGTTCAACAATATGTGTTTCCTTGTTACTCTCCAGATGACATATCAAAACAATTGGTTGTTCAACGTGTATGGTAAACAAATGTGAATCGACAAAAAAGCGATCCGTACCATTTTCCGGACACTTATAGGGAACACGCATATTGTGGACATAGTAAAATGAACGCGACTGAACAATAATAATTTTATCAATTATTAAATTCTCTAGTTTTGTTTCGAATTCAAAACAAAAGTAATGAGAATTTTTGCAAAGTCTATAGCTCATTTTAAAAATGGGGTTATCACTGGAATGAAAACAAGAATATAAGCAAAAATTGTTTAAATTTTGGAAAATTATACTAACAATTTACTCATGGTGTTTAAAAATTCAAAATCTGTATCATCACCGTGTTTCTGTATATGCTCTTCATATGCATCCATAGTGCTAAAATCTTCTTCACATATGCAGCAGCTCATATTAGTAGGATTATAGTTTTCTTTGCGTAACTGCATTAAGGAGGCCTGATATTCCAAAGGAATTGGCTCCATACTTTCATCCACTTCCAAATTATCTAAAATTTTGTGTAATTTTATTTTTTAATTTTATATTTTTATGATTTTTATATTATAAAGATTAACCTTCTTGTAGAACATTTGATATATTATCCACTAATTCCAGTAATAAGCTTTCAGGAGATTTAACAGTGTCTGTTTTCTGTTCAAGACCATCACTATTTATTTTTAATTTATCCAATTCTTTAATTTTATTATTGCGAAAATCAAATAAACTGGAATATTTTATTTTGAAAAAAGGATTTCCACGGGGAGTGTTGAGTAGAAAACCGCAACGGTGTAACAAGGTGCCAATCTGTGGGTATGAAATCAAATGTTGTTTAGTTTTGTCTAGAACTTTTAACCTGTTTCCATATTTATACATACATCAGAAGAACCATTGAGTTCATTTAATTTTTTTCTTAAATCTTTTGTAATAAATTTGTTATACTCTTCCCGTATTATGGATTTTTTAATAAGCCATTCATTATTGGCGCTTACAAATGATCGATGATATAAACCAAGCACAAAGTTTCCAATTAAATTTATTTCTAAAGGATTTTAATTAATTAATTAATGTGATACAAATATATAAGTTAAAGTACATAAAGACATTTTTATACATACCCCATTGTTCCGATTTGTGAGACTTTAGTTTTGTCTTAGTACCATCATCACGATTTGAAACTGTTGAAATTTGGGTGCCAATTGATTCGTCGCTGGACATTGTTGCTATTTTTTAAAACAAACTATTGGAAAATATAAATTTATTAGTAACAACGTAATATTTAGTAAGTTTTGTTTAATATTAAAAAAAAAAATAATGATGTATTACAACAACAACAAATAACTATATAAAATAAACGATCATTTCTTTCTCATACAAAGTATAATTACAACTACTCCCTGCACCGTTTGCCAATCGACTGATTGTGTTTATTCATGGACTGTGTTGTCAAATGCATTAATATAAATATGTATAATTTTTTTAATAATTTCCACAGAATCTACTAGAATATATATTATAGTCTGAGTTATAGATTAGTCTACAGTCTGAAACATAGAATAGTATATGGTCTGCGCTATTAGTCTGATCTGTAGACTTGTATATAGTCTGATCTGTAGTGTAAAGAAATTGTTTTTCGAATAAAACAAATCTTTAGTAGTTGAGGGGTTGTACGACACTATTGAATGGTTGTAAGACACTAAATATTTTATTAAACTAAAAATCTTAAGTACTACATAGTAAAATCTAAACGTAGACTAGTACACATGCGTAAGTGTTAAACACATGTTTTTTTTAATCCTTATCACTCTATGTGTGTGATAAACATAAACACAATAGAAGGACTTGTGGAAAATACAGCCATTAAATAAGAGATGTTTTTCCTTCTTATCGTTACACATACATGTATATATAGATAACCATAGAAGAAAATGTTACTAGCAGATTGAAATACAGTTATATATAAACACATGTTCAAGTGATTTGAACAGTAAACTTGTCTATAGTCCGATCTATAGACTGATCTATAGTCTGATGTATAGACTTGTCTATAGTCTGATCTATAGACTAATCCATAGTCTGATCTATAGATCAGTTTATTGTTTGAGATATATACTAGTCTATAGTCTGAACTATAGACAAGTCTAAAGTCTGGAATATAGAAAAGGTATGATCTAAGCTATAGTCTAAGATATACTCTACAGTCAGTGCTATATTCTATATACCACAGTCTATATTCCAAGCTATACACTATTCTGTAGTCTAAGCTACAGACTATAGTCTGAGCTATAGCCTAATCTATAGTCTCACATATATACTAGTATATAGTTTGATCTATAGACTATCCCATAGTCAAAGCTATGGTCTGCTTTAAAGATTATTCTTTAGTCTGACATATACATATACTACTTTCGGGCTAAATTTCAATGGACAAAAAAAAAACAATCAGCTGTTGAAATGACTTCAACTTATTAGTTTCATCATCATTGATCCTATACCAGTACCTCGTTTCTGTATTTATATCCTTCACCTTCGTGAGAAGGGTATATATAAGTTTGTCATTCCGTTTGTAATTTCTATAATATAATTTTTCGACCCTATAAAGTATATATATTCTGGATCCTTATAGATAGCGGAGTCGATTAAGCCATGTCCGTCTGTCTGTCTGTCTGTTGAAATCAGTTTTTAGAGGACCCCAGATATCGGCGAGATCCGAATCTTCAATAATTCTGTTAGACATGCTTTCGAGAAGATCGCTATTTAAAATCAGCAAAATCGGTCCATAAATGACGGAGATATAAGCAAAAATCCGAGACAACCTCTGAAAATTTCATAAAAATAGACAATTTTTTTCATGTTTTGATTAATAAGCAACAACAACAACACTGCTTATTCATTGAGTATTTCGTTTCACATGTTTGGATGGCTGTGTGTTTCATTGGCATGTGTATATTGTTTTTGTTTCTTGGTGTATTCAGTTTCGTATGTTTGGATGTCTGTTGGTTTGATTGCGTTGTGTATTTTGTTTTTGTTTTTTTTTTTCGAGTATTTCGTTTTGTATGTTTGGATGGCTGTGTGTTTCATTGCCTTGTGTATATTGTTTTTGTTTCTTGGTGTATTCAGTTTTGTATGTTTGGATGGCTGTGTGTTTCATTGCCTTGTGTATATTGTTTTTGTTTGTTGGTGTACAGTTTCGTATGTTTGATGTCTGTTGGTTTCATTGCGTTGTGTATTTTGTTTTTGTTTTTTTTTGTGTATTTCGTTTCGTATGTTTGGATGTCTGTTGGTATTGCTATAATAATGATGTAATCGGGAAAATTAAATATGTACATAGGTACATAAATTTAAATTTTATAAAATTTATATTTTTTAAATACACTATGGTGAAGGGTATATAAGATTCGGCACAGCCGAATATAGCACTCTTACTTGTTTTTTTTTTTCGAATCGAGAAAAAATTTAAAATATAATAGTCTTTCAGTTTTTAACAGTGTGACTCTGATTATTTTTAAACTGTTCTCATTAAAATTTAATAAGAAACGTTTAAATTTCATGTATTCACCCTGTTTTACACAAGATGATCATGAATTTTTTTTGACAGTTTTTCTCAATGCAAGAATTACAGAAACGGAGCACAGTTTCTATTCTATTGCAAACAAGCGCGGCAACTCTGCTTATTGGCAAAATTGCAATTTGCTAATTGAGAATGTGGAGCATGGCGTTACTAATAAGGTGAAGTAATTTCAAAAGTTGAAGCCAAGGCGAATAGATTATAAATTTTTTTAAATATGGAGTTTGACAGCATCGGTTTTGAGAGGGAATCTTTTTATTAGGGTTCTATAAATCGACTTTCGAATAATCGAACAATCGACTTTTTGTCGAAAAAAGTCGAAAAGTCGAAGTCGACTATTTTGTTCCAAAAGTCGATAACTCGACTATCGTCTATGAAAAAAGTCGAAAAGTCGACTTTGTAAATAAAAGTCGAAAAAAGTCGAAGTCAAAAAATCGGAAAGTCGAAAAAAGTTGAAAAGTCGAAAAAAGTCGAAGAAAGTCGAAAAAAGTCGAAAAGTCGGAAAAAGTCGAAAAGAGACGAAAATTTTAAAAAAGTGGAAAAGAGGTCAAAAACTCTAAAATAGTCGGAAAAACTCGAAAAAAGTAAAAAAATAGTCAAAAAAAAAGTCGAAATAAATCGAAAATAGTCAAAAAGTCGTAAAAAAATCAAAAAGTCAAAAAGTTGGAAAAAGTCGAAAAGTCGAAGAGTCGAAGAGTCGAAAAAAGTCGGAAAAAGTCGAAAAGTCGGAAAAAGTCGACCATTTATAAAATACTAAAAGTCCAAAAGTCTAAAAGTCGACTTTTAAATAAATGAAAAAGGTCGAATAGACGAAAAATCGACTTTTCATAAAATGGAAAAAGTCAAAAGGTCGAAAAGTCGACTTTTAACTAAATGCAAAAAGTCGAAAAGTCGACTTTTCGTTTCAACTATAGAACCCTACTTTTTATATGGAGTTTGACGGCGTCGGACTAAATTTCCATTTACAAAAAACAGTCAAATTGCATGTATAAAAAAAATCATTAATTCGCTCCAAAATTAAATAACTTCACCTTATAATTGAAACATCTTGATGTAGAGTTTAATAATCTCAACAAATATGTGCATAATGATAAGTAAATGTATATAATATTGTGCTATTGATTGTATATTATCAATATGCACGACTGCTAAATATTTATTATACATGTATGTACATATTTATAAACAAGTATAGTCGGCCGTGGCCGACCATATGATACCCTACACTAGTTATGAATATTAAATTTGATTTATTTTTCATAATAAAGCATTTATCTTCAATATTCCCTTGTTCCGATACATTTAAGCAATTTATGGATGAAAAATTAATTTTCTGAAAGAGGCTTTATATGGGGGCTAGGGGCAAATATGGACCAAGCCCGATAAAATTTTGTGAATATTTATATGTACATAATATTTTATTGTGCTGAATTTTATCGCGATATTTGTGTTTTGGGATATTCAAGTAATTTTCTGAACGGGACTTTGTATGGGAGCTAGGGTCAAATGGGGCCCGATCTTTATGAAATTTGGCAGACTTCTATAAAACTTAGTTGTGCCGTATTTTATCGATATATCTGTATATTTAACATAATTATGAGCTCAGAAGCCCTTTTCGGGGGGTTCTGTTCTATGGGGGCTAGGTGAAATAATGGACCGAGTTTAACCATTTTCAATAGGCTACGTCCTTGGGTCAAATAAAACATGCGTGCCAAATTTCATCCAACTATCTTGAAAATTGCGACCTGTACCTTGCGCACAAGGTTTACATGGACAGAGAGCCAGCCAGCCAGCCAGACGGACATAGCTTAATCGACTCAGAAAACGATTCTAAGCCGATTGGTATACTTTAAGGTGGGTCTAGGACGAATATTTTTGTATGTTACAAACATCAGCACAAATCCAATAAACCCTCCCCACTAAAGTGGTGTAGGGTATAAAAATTGAATTAAGCAAATGGCGCATACACATTCATACTATATGAATTTTGTTTAGTATTTATGGGAAGGGTGGGGGGTTATACATAATATTGTTTGCCAAATTAATGATAAATATTATTAAAATGTATTTAATTTTTGCTAGCAATTATTGCTTTGTTTTTTTTTTTTTTTTTGCTAAAATTGATTCGTTGAGAAAATTGGGTATAAAAGTTTATGAGCTCCAAATTCAAAGTCTTAACTCGACAACAATTCCTCTTTATACATGCCAAATTTCATTCAAATCGGACAATCGGAAAATCGGACGTTTAGAAATTACAGCTTAATTTTCATTTTTATTTTTCACCCATCACACTGTTTATCGCCTGTCGCTTTACGGCGGCAGTTGCAATTGTAATCCTTGGGCAAATTCGAGTTCTTTTTGTTTTGTTAAAGTTTGTATAAATCTTTTATATAAAGATAAATTTGCTTATAGAAAATCATTTATATACATAAATAAAAGCTTTTATATCTATTTTTAAATAAAAATAACCACAAAAAACACTTTAGAACAAAAAAAAAACTGATTTATCTGCATATTAATAATTTTTTTTTTGTAAATGCCAAAGTCTAAACTTTTTAATTACTTTTTTAATCACTTTCAATTCGTATATTTTATTTAAATAAAAGATTTATCTTACTTTTAGCAAACAATTTTCACAGCGTATACAATATTTTTAATAATAACAAAACTTTAGTCGAAATTTTTTATAAAATTTATTTGCTACCCGTACCAGTAATGCACTTGTGTTCGCAATAAAACAAAATGTCGATTGTGTATGGTGCACAAAGTGAAGAAAACCGCAGTTTTTAACAAACAAAGCAATTTTAATGTGTGGTTCCCCTTTTTTTATTTATAAAATGACACGAAGATAATCAGAAACAGTGTTGATAAAAATGTTGCCACATTTGAAAATGATGTAAACAGAACAACAGGTAAAGCCAACTTTGGGTGATGCCAGATTTTTTTTTTGATTAGCGCTGTTGCCCTTAAATTAATTGTACAAATAAAATGAAAAACCGGCCAACAAAATTTGAAATAAGTCGAAACTTAGAGACCAAAGCCGCGTGAATCTGGCCTCAGAATTCCTGCATTACATCTTATCTTTCAGATATCGTATTATAAATATTTAAAAATTATATTTTCTCAGCAAATAACTAATAGTTATTTCTAAACAATTAAAAAATATTTTTGTGAAAAAATATATTACAAATTGTCGACAGATTTGACTTTTGGACGACATAAATTTAAACATAAAATTTTGTAAATAAAGATTTCTTCGCGCTATTATAACGTCTCAAATATGACCAAATTTTTTTATTTTAATCTTTATGACATGATATCTAGAAAATATGGTGTGATGGATTAAAGATGAGTCCAAATTCGGTAACAGCGCAGCTTAAAAAAAGTTTTAAACAAAATTTTAAGTTAGAATTAGAATTCTATAATCATGTGTTTAAAAATTAGACAGAAAAAAATAATACATAACTTGAATGAATTTTGTAATAAATAAATGAACATGACTTTTTTTCCCCAAACCATTTTCATTCAAAATATTAAAACTTCATAGAATGTATTAATTTGAACCTGACTGAATTTTTTTTAATTTTTACTTTTTTTCATAAAGAAGTACAAAATTTTCCTAGGAAAATTTCAAACATTTTTTTAACAAATAGAAAATAAAAACATATTTGAAATATTTTAAGTCAAGGCTTCTAGATTATGTTTGAAAAAATAAAAATTCATACAGTTTAGGAACTTATTCTTAAATATTATTAAAGGTATTTTCAGACTACAATACTGAGTATTAACACACTTCAAATTAAAAATATTATGAAAATAATTCGCATTTTCAAAAAATCAATCCGAAAAATACATTTTATGTTTACACTATAACATTTGTAATATTTTTTATCCAATTTTCAATTATTTATGCACTTTTCGTTCTTATTTTTAATGTATTTTACACTTTTTGTTTGTTTTTTATTGTATTTATAAAATACATACCGAATACGTTTGAAAATAAAAAGTTTTTGAATTGTTTTAAAAAATTTATGAATACCGACCGTATGCCAAAAAAATCAGTAATATTTTTGAAAATCAAATTACAAATTATATTTAGACTAGTAAATTGTATTATGATACAAATATTCTTGACAAGTATTAATACTCAGTATTGTAGTCTGAAAATACCTTAACTTTTATCAATGAAAGCAGTTCATAATATTTATGCTCAAACTTTTTTCTGTGTAAATTATTTTGATCCATAGTTTTTTTTTAATTTTTCATTATAACTACTTTTATTTATTTATATGATTTATATTATATTTGGTTATTATCGCTGCTTTTAAATACATATATGTATATGTTCTTTGTTTTTTAGCATCATAGGTAAGGTTTTGAAAAGTTTGCGTGATTTTACAAATTAATTTAATTATTAGATTTCGTGTTGTTAAAAATTAAAGATAAAATCATAGTAATTCATATTGGTTTACCAACAATTATAACAATAAACTGGGGTTTTCTAAATAACTCTATTATTTTAGAGATCCTAGAACTTTGTTCTACTAATCTTTTAAAAACTAATTTGGTTCAAAAATTATAAATATTTAAATTTAATACTATGTTTTCACTTTTTTGTAAGATCCAAAATTAAATTAATTAATAAAGTCTCAAAAGGTCGAAGGAAACAATTCCCAAAAATTTATGTGAAAATCCCAAAAATTGTATTTTTTACAATTTGCAAATTGGGTCCCACTCTAAGGGCTGGGATAAATAGGAAACACATTAAGGCTTCTGAAACTACTTTCAATTTTCTAATCGCTGCTTTGGAATTTTAGAAGAGGTAACCCAATGCTGAAATTTTGTAAAAAAATAGTTCAAGCTCCGAATGGACTAAAGGCAGACATATTTTTTATATCAAAATAGAATTTATTTTAATAAAATGGGTATTGCCACCGTTTCACACAAAAACACCAAAACAGCTTTCTATGCATTTTTACATTTCCTTAATGTTAACAAAATCCACGTCACCACTATTTTACATTCAATCTACAATTATACTTACTATTTAATTTTTTTAATACGTAAAATTAAAAATCACTTGTAAATATTAATTTTAACCGGATTTTCTTTTACAATTTTCTAAACAATATAATTACGAACTTTTTTTTTATTTATTCACTTTTATCCGTCTCTTAAAGCGAACGTGAAACTAACCAAGCGATTTATTTTACTGTGAGTTATAAATAGAGAAAACACTAATAATTGATTTCTGCTAAATGGGGAATCACTCATTTTTTATTTTAAGGTTTTTCCAAGAATATAAATCTGTTATTTTTGAGTTGCCATATGTGTTTGTTATCTATCCATTTGTCCAGTGTTCTAAAGTGTAGAAATTAAAAACTCAATACTGACAGAAACCTACGTCGACTGACTGAAAACCAAGACGCTGATTAATTTCAAATATTAACGCCGTCGATTTAGCGATATCCGCCTATCTGTTCGTATGTTTGTTGAAAACTATTTTCTGAATGGTCCAATGTTATATCTGTGGTTCAGTTAAATATCTTTGAGAACCAAATTTTGAATATAAAGTTTTTTGTATGAAATCAGCACAATCGAGACATAAATAATCAAGATATGTGCAAAATTTCGAAAAAAACACGATTTTTAGAGAATTTTGTATATGTTTTGAATGTTATGTTCGATGTGTATAGGTTTACATAGGATATTTGAAACATCTTTGAATTTAACGAGTTTTAAAGGGTTAGATCCTATCCATTAATACTCAACTTGAAATTTACAAAATGTTTTCAAACTTTATTTACATATTTATTTCTTTTTACATTATTTTACATTATAATATAACCATCATGATTTTATATAAAAACTAATAAATGCACTTTGACAAATTTGAAGAGTTGAAAAATTAGTCGCTATAAATGTTCCTTTAGAAAGTTGTAAATCATTCATACTTCTATTTATTCGTGTTTCCATTGGGCTTTACGTTTTTCCACAAAACTACGAAGGCCCTCCTGACAATCATTTAAGCCAAGATTTTCCAACATTTTCTGTAAGGGATGCAAATCTTTAAATCACCAAACCATTTACTAAATTTAAAAATGTTTAAAATATTACTTCAGATCCCAATTTATAAGCCTCTTCAATGGACAAATTCAATTGTTTGTAGTAAAACTCTTTGCCTAAAGCAATAACAGTACGACTTTTATGCTTAATAGCATCGGTGACTTTTTGCATTTCAGTTTCCAATTCCGCCACGGGTACCACACGACTTACAAGACCTAAAACATCAAAATTTAATAAATATTTTTAAACCCCTTTAAATAGTTTCAAAAATATACCAGCCGTAAAGGCTTCTTGTGCCGTTATGGGTAAACCGGTCATTAGCATATAAGCTGATTGGGGTCTGGCCATAACGCGCGATATAGCAATGCCCGGAGTAGAACAAAATACCCCAAAATTGGCGCTGAAAGAAAAAAGGTGTAAAATATTATCTTGAACCATTAGATTTGATTTTTAAATACCCTGGCGTAGAGAAATTACTCTTTTCTGAAGCAATAATAATATCACATGAAGCCACTAATTGACAACCGGCTGCTGCCGCCAAACCATTAACTTTGGCTATAACTGGTACTGGTGCTTTGTATATATTTAAAATTATATCAGTTAACTTTTGAAATACCTCTTTCTGGCAATTCTGTTCACTGCCAGGTATAAGTTCTTTTAGATTGTGGCCGGCCGACCATACCGGTCCTTTGGCACTTAAGACAATACAACGTAATTCCTTATTTTGCCAGTCACTGGTTAGAGCCTCCAATATGGAATTCATCATACCCATGGAAAGGGAATTACGTGTTTTGGGTTCATTTAAACATATCTCACGTATGCCATTGGATTGTGTAACTTCGGTGTAGGTTTGTGCAGCTGCTCTGGTGCTGGAAACATGCAGGGCAGCTTTGCAAATTTGGGTCACAGCTTGTGGCTAATTTTGGGTAAAAAGATTATATTATTAAAGTTTAACTGTCTATTTTGTACACTATATTTTACCTTATTTAAATTAGTTATAACCTTCAACATTATTGATGGAAATTTTTTTAATTTTATACTATTATTGTCTTATCAACAAGTGAAATTTATTGAAAACAAAAACATCTGATTGTTTGTGCAAAAAATTGAAACAACTCTGTATTACTCACAATTTCAAAAACTTTACAACACTGATTTTAAACAGTTATGCAAAGAAATCCAAGAACTTTACAGCACAGTGTAAACCGTTACTAGTTGTATACAAATAACTACACGTTCTTCTGAAAAATATTAACACAGTTTCAATTAAAAATTTAATAAAAATGTAATTTAAATTTTATTAAAAATCAAAACTATAATTTTTTAATAAAACCGTATTTTCATAAAAATACTAAATAATTTATTTAGGTAAAATTGAAAATATAAATGCATTATAACCATAACCAGTTAAATAAGTCACATAAAAAAATAAATATGTATAAATCTTTAATAGCCGTGTAAAGACTTTTGATTTGCTTCAAAATTATATATAAATATATAAGTTTTACTATTCTTATTACTTTAAGGCTTCATTTTAAAGGCAGCTAGTTATAGAGTGTCATTTACAAATGAGACCATACTGGTTTACGTTTTTCCATAAAACCGCGAACACCTTCTTTTGAATCTTCTAGCTGAAGATTTTCAGTCATTTTCTGGAATGAAAACAGATAGAATAATAATAGTTGGACTTTCTAAATCATTTAAACTTACCTTTGTACCCTGTTTATAGGCCTCTTCCAAAGGCAATTCCAATTGTTGGTAGAAAAACTCTTTACCTAAAGCCAATACCGAACGACTTTTATTTTTTATAGCATTCACGATTTTATTCATTTCATTATTGAGCTCTTCGTCGGGTACCACACGACTAGCTAAACCGATTTTATAGGCATCTTCGGCAGTAATGGGGTGGCCAGTCATTAACATATCTAAGCATTTGGAGTGTGGCATTATGCGTGACATGGCAACGGCAGGGGTAGAGGCAAAGACACCAAAGTTGGCACTAAATATGTATATTAAAATGATAATTGTTATATAATATTTTTTCAATAAATCTATCTCTAAACGGTTCTAATTTACTCTTACCTGGGCGTTATGAAAGAACTTTTCGCCGAACACACCACAATATCACAGGAGGCTACCAGCTGTACGCCACCAGCCGCTACTATACCATTAACTTTAGCTATGACCGGCACCGGAGCTTTGCGTATATTGTAAATGATATTTGTTAGTTTTTCAAAAACGGCAGTATGCTGTTGGACACCACACTCGGGAGCCAATTCCTTTAAATCATGACCAGCCGACCAAACCGGTCCCGTAGAAGATAAAACTATACAACGTAAATTGGTATCATGCCAAGTTTTTGTTAATCCTGCCAATAACTCATCCATCATGGTGAGCGATAAGGCATTACGTGTTTTTGCATCGTTAAGTATAATTTCACGTACGCCATTGCTTTCGGTAATTTGACAGTATTTATTACTGGCACTGGAGGTGGACATGGCGGCACACATATTAGTCAAAGGAAGTTTGTTTGCAGTAGTGAAGGCCTAAAAAAATTAGAGATTTTAGATAACAACAAAAAAAATCTACTTGCTTAAAAACTTACTGTATTTAATAGAAATCTAAAGTGACGAAGCATTTTTTTGCGTTGAGTGTTTTGTTTTTTAATTTATGTATATGTTATCACTTTAAATTTTGAGCAATTAATAACAACAGGTGAATATATAAAATGTAAATAAAACTAAATTTGCAAACAGCTGAACATTTCCAAAAGTGTTTTTGTTTGATAACAAGTTGTATTTAAACTAGGTAGTTGTTAATGGCTATACGCTATTTTTATTATATATATGTTTTTTATATATAGAGTTTGACAGTCTTGTGACCAAAATATTAAGCAGCTGTTTAAATTTCTTTATATTAAATTTATTTACCTTGTTTCAATTGTTAATATCGAAAACAACCCTGTTATTTTTTGCAGCAACTGCAGCCAACTTCCGGTTTGTTTACCATCAGCTGTTTAAATAACTTTATCTAGTAGGAATAACAGCTCTGTTTTTGTCTATATTAGCAATTGCAGCCAACTTCAGGTTTGTTTACATTTCTTTTTAGTTACAAAAACAATTTGTAATAGAACAGCTGTATAATTAAATTTTTATGTTGTAATATTGGCAACAAAAACGATTGGCTAAACTCTTTGTTATGTTTTTAAGTAAATTTTGAATAAATTCCAACAATATTTTGCAAAAAATCGTAAGTTTTTCACAATATTTATAAAGCTTCAGTTTTACCCCTTTCCCGCCTTTTTCAGCGTTATAATTCCTGACATAGAAAAAAGTAGGTACATAATTGATAATTTTCTTTATCAGTTATTTTTTTCATTTGTATTTAATTGATAACAAAGTAAATTAAGTTTTTATAATTATTTTATTGCATTCCAACTCATAACTCATTGGCTGTTGTTGTTTAATCGCCTTTTTTACTCAATTTGCTTCAATTCTCATTTCAGTTGTTTTCGTTTCGTCAAAGTGTTAAGTAATTTGTTAATTTTCATTTTTATTAATAAAAAAATACCCAAAATAAAATTTCAAATCCACCTTGCATTGACTACAATTAAAAATACCAAAGAACACCACTACAACAACAATTCCCGTTTTCATAATCATGAAACCTTTTCAAACTGGTGCTTACGATTGTAGCAAACTATTGACCGAAAATATCAATCGTTTGTTTGCGAATCGTGAACCCTGGCAAGTGGCCAGCATAACAGCTTCTGCTGTTCTTACCTCCATTTGGTTATGGAGTTTTATCAATCAAGATGAAAGTAAGTATAATGTCAAAATTAAACATTGTATAGTATCTCTAAAGAAGTTATGTAAACTTGGAAGGGGTAAAGGTTGATTTTATAGGAGGTGATTACTATAAAATGTAATAAATTTTATAAAATTATTATTTATTGTTTAAGGAAAACTTTCTGTAAAATTAAAAAATTATTGAAAATTGTCCATGAACTCAAAATGAACTAGAACTAAGCATGAACTAAGCTTGAATGGAAATAAGAGTGAACTAGAACTGAACTAGAACTGAATTAGAACTGAACTAGAACTAGAACTGAACTAGAACTGAACTAGAACTGAACTAGAACTGAACTAGAACTGAACTAGAACTGAAGTAGAACTGAAGTAGAACTGAACTAGAACTGAACTAGAACTGAAATAGAACTGAACTAGAACTGAACTAGAACTGAACTAGAACTGAACTAGAACTGAACTAGAACTGAACTAGAACTGAACGAACTGAACTAGAACTGAACTAGAACTGAACTAGAACTGAACTAGAACTGAACTAGAACTGAACTAGAACTGAACTAGAACTAGAACTGAACTAGAACTGAACTAGAACTGAACTAGAACTGAACTAGAACTGAACTGAACTAGAACTGAACTAGAACTGAACTAGAACTGAACTAGAACTGAACTAGAACTGAATTAGAACTGAACTAGAACTGAACTAGAACTGAACTAGAACTGAACTAGAACTGAACTAGAACTGAACTAGAACTGAACTAGAACTGAACTAGAACTGAACTAGAACTGAACTAGAACTGAACTAGAACTGAACTAGAACTGAACTAGAACTGAACTAGAACTGAACTAGAACTGAACTAGAACTGAACTAGAACTGAACTAGAACTGAACTAGAACTGAACTAGAACTGAACTAGAACTGAACTAGAACTGAACTAGAACTGAACTAGAACTGAACTAGAACTGAACTAGAACTGAACTTGAACTGAACTAGAACTGAACTAGAACTGAACTAGAACTGAACTAGAACTGAACTAGAACTGAACTAGAACTGAACTAGAACTGAACTAGAACTGAACTAAAACTGAACTAGAACTGAACTAGAACTGAACTAGAACTGAACTAGAACTGAACTAGAACTGAACTAGAACAACTGAACTAGAACTAGAACTGAACTAGAACTGAACTAGAACTGAACTAGAACTGAACTAGAACTGAACTAGAACTGAACTAGAACTACTAGAACTGAACTAGAACTGAACTAGAACTGAACTAGAACTGAACTAGAACTGAACTAGAACTGAACTAGAACTGAACTAGAACTGAACTAGAACTGAACTAGAACTGAACTAGAACTGAACTAGAACTGAACTAGAACTGAACTAGAACTGAACTAGAACTGAACTAGAACTGAACTAGAACTGAACTAGAACTGAACTAGAACTGAACTAGAACTGAACTAGAACTGAACTAGAACTGAACTAGAACTGAACTAAACTGAACTAGAACTGAACTAGAACTGAACTAGAACTGAACTAGAACTGAACTAGAACTGAACTAGAACTGAACTAGAACTGAACTGAACTAGAACTGAACTAGAACTGAACTAGAACTGAACTAGAACTGAACTAGAACTGAACTAGAACTGAACTAGAACTGAACTAGAACTGAACTAGAACTGAACTAGAACTGAACTAGAACTGAACTAGAACTGAACTAGAACTGAACTAGAACTGAACTAGAACTGAACTAGAACTGAACTAGAACTGAACTAGAACTGAACTAGAACTGAACTAGAACTGAACTAGAACTGAACTAGAACTGAACTAGAACTGAACTAGAACTGAACTAGAACTGAACTAGAACTGAACTAGAACTGACTAGAACTGAACTAGAACTGAACTAGAACCTGAACTAGAACTGAACTAGAACTGAACTAGAACTGACCTAGAACTGAACCTAGAACTGAACTAGAACTGAACTAGAACTGAACTAGAACTGAACTAGAACTGAACTAGAACTGAACTAGAACTGAACTAGAACTGAACTAGAACTGAACTAGAACTGAACTAGAACTGAAACTAGAACTGAACTAGAACTGAACTAGAACTGAACTAGAACTGAACTAGAACTGAACTAGAACTGAACTAGAACTGAACTAGAACTGAACTAGAACTGAACTAGAACTGAACTAGAACTGAACTAGAACTGAACTAGAACTGAATTAGAACTGAACTAGAACTGAACTAGAACTGAACTAGAACAGAACTAAAACTGAACTAGAACGTGAACTAGAACTTGAACTAGAACTGAACTAGAACTGAACTAGAACTGAACTAGAACTGAACTAGAACTGAACTAGAACTGAACTAGAACTGAATTAGAACTGAACTAGAACTGAACTAGAACTGAACTAGAACAGAACTAAAACTGAACTAGAACTGAACTAGAACTGAACTAGAACTGAACTAGATCTAATTTGATTTGTAACTGTGGAATTTATAGAAATTCTGTTTAAAGCAGAAACACTTTCTTATAGCTTTACTGCTTTCTTTAATGTTCCTACTTTTGTAAGAAAACTTCTGCAAAAAGTTTTAAAATTCTGCTGTTATCAATTCTTTTCTATGGGGGGTTTTCAATTTTTATTAAAGACAACAACTATGAAACAATAGTGTCTGTGTGTGTTTTAGTTTCCTTTATCTCTATCATGAATTTCATAAATTTTAAAATATATGTCGTTAATTTACCGGAATGTACTAAAGTAAATATTTAAAGTACCGCTAATATAAATAAATAATATAAAAACTTAAATAGATTAGGATTAACAAACTGATATTAGAAATCAATAAGCAGCAACAGGTAGAAAAAATGTTTCAGGGGGTTATTAAAAAATTTTAAATTAAAACGAAAAATAATTAGATGAACAAACAAGTTTTTTTTTTTGTTAATAAATTTAACTTTGTTGTATTTTTATAATAATAACAATGATTCATAAAACATTCAAAAATGCATATTAAATATTTTAAAAAATATATATCATGTTTTTTCCCCTGTTTTTAAGTTGTTACAAAACAGGGTATTTTCAAAATCTTTTCGATTCGATTTTATATAAGAATCTAAATAATTGATGATATTATTTATGTATTTGAAAAAAGATGATTGATTATTGGGCAAATACAACAAAAATAAAATAAATAAAAAAAAATTCCAATATTTAAAGTGAACTTTATAAAACCTCCATCTGTTCCTATTTCCTTCCACGAAATTGTTATTTTTTTAACAAATTTAAAATCTTGAAATAAATTTGTTCACTCATTTTATTGCACTTTAATCAAATGAATGTGATAAACCCTATGTTAACACGTTCGCATATTTCTTTTAAGTAATTGCTTATTAGTTCATATTTAGTGATTAGAATCGTTTATTGTTTTAAAATAATTATTGAACTATAGATACTTTAAGAGTCATGATTATAAACAACAACAAATAGAAAATACAAAACAAAAACGTCCATTTTTTACATCAGTTCTAGTTCCTTTCGAACTTAGTTCTAAAATTATTCCAAAAATTTATCCAAATATCTGTTAATTAGTAAAAATATTCAAAATCGGTGTCATCCAAGTTCGAAGATTTATGTTTCCAATTATTCTATTCTTATTGTCTACTTCCAGGCATTTGGGTACGTGGTAAAAGACAATTTTTCCGTTATCTAAAGAGAGTACCAGCCGTGCGCAGAAAAATCGAATCAGAATTAGCTAAAGCTACAACTGATTTCGAGAATGACATATCAAAAAGTTGTGAAAAACTTACCTATTCCCTGCGCCTACCCGAAGAGGGTCTTAGTAAAGAGGAAATTCTTAAATTGGTGGATGAACATTTGAAATTGGGTCATTACGATTGGCGTGATGGTCGTGTATCGGGTGCTGTTTATGGTTTCCAAGAGGACTTAGTGGATCTAGTGACACAAGTTTATGGCAAAGCTTCCTATACGAATCCTTTACATCCAGATATCTTTCCGGGTGTATGTAAAATGGAAGCAGAGGTAGTGCGTATGGCCTGTACACTATTTCATGGTGATGCTAAGACATGTGGTACTGTAAGTCGGGAAGAAGCTTTAAGTGTAAGACCGTTTTATTTATTATTAATTTTTGATTGTGTAGATGACTACTGGTGGCACTGAATCTATTGTGATGGCTTGTAAAGCTTATCGTGATTATGCCCGTGAACATAAAGGTATTACCCAACCAAATATGGTGGTGCCTCGTACCATACATGCTGCCTTCGATAAGGCTGGCCAATATTTCAATATTCATGTGCGTTATGTTGATGTAGATCCCGAAACTTATGAAGTTGATATGAAAGCCTTTAAAAAGGCCATTAATTCCAATACCATAATGGTTAGTATTATTAAACAATACAAAATTATTTATTTTCTATTAAAATTTTTAAAATTTCTCCTTATTTTTAAAGTTAGCTGGCTCAGCGCCTAATTTCCCTTATGGTACCATGGATGATATAGAAGCTATTGCTGCTTTAGGTGTTAAATATGACATTCCAGTACATGTAGATGCTTGTCTGGGCAGTTTTGTGGTGGCTTTAGCTAGAGCAGCTGGCTATAGTACAAAAACATTTGATTTTGAACTGCCCGGTGTAACCAGTATTTCGGCTGATACTCATAAGGTTTGTATAAGAAATTTTAGTTAAAGTTTGTAGTGTTTTAATGTAAATCTTACTTTAGTACGGCTTTGCCCCCAAAGGCTCATCGGTTATTTTATACTCTGAGGGTAAATATCTTAATCATCAATTTACCGTTACCACCGATTGGCCTGGTGGTGTTTATGGCTCTCCCACTATTAATGGTTCTCGTGCTGGTGGTATTATTGCCGCCTGCTGGGCCACTATGATGAGTTTTGGTTATAGTGGTTATTTAGAGGCTACTAAACGTATTTTAGATACTGCCCGTTATGTGGAGCAAGGGTAAGTTGTCTAGTTAATCTTTTTATAATAAAAAAATTATAAATTGTTTTTGTTTTTTAATTTTAGCATACGTAAAATTGATGGCATTTTTGTTTTTGGTAAACCTGCCACTTCTGTGGTGGCTATGGGTTCAAATGTTTTCGATATTTTCCGTTTATCGGATGCTTTATGTAAATTGGGCTGGAATTTGAATACTTTGCAGTTTCCTTCGGGGTAAGTCGAAAACACTTTTTCACAAATTCATTATCTACCATTACATTGTTTTAAGTTTTAAAGTCATTTAACACATACATATGAACAAAATCAGAAATTGGTAACATTTTTTTGGAAAAAGTAGAATAATTTTAGTTTATTTTTTTTTAATAAATTTGATAATGAAAAAGTTTGTAGGTATCTAATTGGTTTCTGGAATATAAAAAACTAATAACTCAGTAAATAAAAGTATATTTTAAGAAGAATTCATTATTTTAGGAAAGTAAACCAATCTTAGTGAAGAAAAATAATTCTTATTAATAAGTGGTGGTTTTAAGGCCCCAACAGAAAGAGAACTATAACCGATTATTATAAATATTTAACTTTGAGATATATCAAAGACTCTAGAAAGTGCTAAGAATATAAATTCGATGGAATATCGAGCAAAATAAACAATTTCCCAGAAAATACAAGATTTCTTCTTTAAAACTACAACGATTGAATGCAACATGAAACATAACTTAAGAGTGACGAAAGAACTAGAACAGAACTAAAACAGAATTAGAACTGAACTAGAACAGAACAAGAAGAGAACTAGAACAGAACAAGAAGAGAACTAGAACAGAACTAGAACAGAACAGAACTAGAACAGAACTAGAACAGAACTAGAACAGAACTAGAACAGAACTAGAACAGAACTAAAACAGAACTAGAACAGAACTAGAACAGAACTAAAACAGAATTAGAACAGAACTAGAACAGAACTAGAACAGAACTAGAACAGAACTAGAACAGAACTAGAACAGAACTAGAACAGAACAGAACTAGAACAGAACAGAACAGAACAGAACAGAACAGAACAGAACTAGAACAGAACAGAACAGAACAGAACTAGAACAGAACAGAACAGAACTAGAACAGAACTAGAACAGAACTAGAACAGAACTAGAACAGAACTAGAACAGAACTAGAACAGAACTAGAACAGAACTAGAACAGAACTAGAAGAGAACTAGAACAGAACTAGAACAGAACTAGAACAGAACTAGAAGAGAACTAGAACAGAACTAGAACAGAACTAGAACAAAACTAGAACAGAACTAGAACAGAACTAGAACAGAACTAGAACAGAACTAGAACAGAACTAGAACAGAACTAGAACAGAACTAGAACAGAACTAGAAAAGAACTAGAACAGAACTAGAACAGAACTAGATCTAGAACAGAACTAGAACAGAACTAGAACAGAACTAGAATAGAACTAGAACAGAACTAGAACAGAACTACAACAGAACTAGAACAGAACTAGAACAGAACTAGAACAGAACTAGAACAGAACTAGAACAGAACTAGAACAGAACTAGAACAGAACTAGAACAGAACTAGAACAGAACTAGAACAGAACTAGAACAGAACTAGAACAGAACTAGAACAGAACTAGAACAGAACTAGAACAGAACTAGAACAGAACTAGAAACTAGAACAGAACTAGAACAGAACTAGAACAGAACTAGAACAGAACTAGAACAGAACTAGAACAGAACTAGAACAGAACTAGAACAGAACTAGAACAGAACTAGAACAGAACTAGAACAGAACTAGAACAGAACTAGAACAGAACTAGAACAGAACTAGAACAGAACTAGAACAGAACTAGAACAGAACTAGAACAGAACTAGAACAGAACTAGAACAGAACTAGAACAGAACTAGAACAGAACTAGAACAGAACTAGAACAGAACTAGAACAGAACTAGAACAGAACTAGAACAGAACTAGAACAGAACTAGAACAGAACTAGAACAGAACTAGAACAGAACTAGAACAGAACTAGAACAGAACTAGAACAGACTAGAACAGAACTAGAACAGAACTAGAACAGAACTAGAACAGAACTAGAACAGAACTAGAACAGAAACTAGAACAGAACTAGAACAGAACTAGAACAGAACTAGAACAGAACTAGAACAGAACTAGAATAGAACTAGAACAGAACTAGAACAGAACTAGAACAGAACTAGAACTGAATTAGAACTGTACTAGAACTGTACTAGAACTGTACTAGAACTGAACTAGAACAGAACTAGAACAGAACTAGAACTAGAACTAGAACAGAACTAGAACAGAACTAGAACAGAACTAGAACAGAACTAGAACAGAACTAGAACAGAACTAGAACAGAACTAGAACAGAACTAGAACAGAACTAGAACAGAACTAGAACTAGAACAGAACTAGAACAGAACTAGAACAGAACTAGAACAAAACTAGAACAGAACTAGAACTGAATGAACTGTACTAGAACTGTACTAGAACTGTACTAGAACTGAACTAGAACAGAACTAGAACAGAACTAGAACTAGAACTAGAACAGAACTAGAACAGAACTAGAACAGAACTAGAACAGAACTAGAAGAGAACTAGAACAGAACTAGAACAGAACTAGAACAGAACTAGAACAGAACTAGAAGAGAACTAGAACAGAACTAGAACAGAACTAGAACAGAACTAGAACAGAACTAGAACAGAACTAGAATAGAACTAGAACAGAACTAGAACAGAACTACAACAGAACTAGAACAGAACTAGAACAGAACTAGAACAGAACTAGAACAGAACTAGAACAGAACTAGAACAGAACTAGAACAGAACTAGAACAGAACTAGAACAGAACTAGAACAGAACTAGAACAGAACTAGAACAGAACTAGAACAGAACTAGAACAGAACTAGAACAGAACTAGAACAGAACTAGAACAGAACTAGAACAGAACTAGAACAGAACTAGAACAGAACTAGAACAGAACTAGAACAGAACTAGAACAGAACTAGAACAGAACTAGAACAGAACTAGAACAGAACTAGAACAGAACTAGAACAGAACTAGAACAGAACTAGAACAGAACTAGAACAGAACTAGAACAGAACTAGAACAGAACTAGAACAGAACTAGAACAGAACTAGAACAGAACTAGAACAGAACTAGAACAGAACTAGAACAGAACTAGAACAGAACTAGAATAGAACTAGAACAGAACTAGAACAGAACTAGAACAGAACTAGAACTGAACTTAGAACAGAACTAGAACAGAACTAGAACAGAACTAGAACAGAACTAGAACAGAACTAGAACAGAACTAGAACAGAACTAGAACTAGAACTAGAACAGAACTAGAACAGAACTAGAACAGAACTAGAACAGAACTAGAACAGAACTAGAACAGAACTAGACAGAACTAGAATAGAACTAGAACAGAACTAGAACAGAACTAGAACAGAACTAGAACTGAATTAGAACTGTACTAGAACTGTACTAGAACTGTACTAGAACTGAACTAGAACAGAACTAGAACAGAACTAGAACTAGAACTAGAACAGAACTAGAACAGAACTAGAACAGAACTAGAACAGAACTAGAACAGAACTAGAACAGAACTAGAACAGAACTAGAACAGAACTAGAACAGAACTAGAACAGAACTAGAACAGAACTAGAACTAGAACAGAACTAGAACAGAACTAGAACAGAACTAGAACAAAACTAGAACAGAACTAGAACTCATCTAGAACTCATCTAGAACTCAACTAGAACAGAACTAGAACTGCACAACTGAACTGGAATAGTACAAGTTCTTCTGAAGTAAAAAGGTATATCGCATATGTAGAGTTCAAAGTCTGTAAAATCGATCCAAGTTACATTCAGTGGGTGTCTTAGAGATCTACATTCTAGTGAAAATTTCAAAAAAGTTTTTCGGTACTGCAAATTCTATATTGATAAAGTTGTTAGGTGTTCCGAAGTATTTAAGAAATCGGTGGTGTCTCATTAGAAAAAATCAAAGTCCAAAAATTTGTGTGAAACTACTTTCCATAAGTGATTGAAATCGTGTAATAAAAAAGAAAGCATTAATGTGAAATCAAGAAAGATCAAGACTAAAACGATATACAATTAGTCAATTAAGAAAGATGACAAGGAGAAATATTGAAGTTTAAGAGGAATCATCATTTAACACATTTCAAGTTCATTACAGTCCCTGAGTTATTTTCAAGAATCCCATGATAAACCTAAACGACAATCTTACAATTCCAGCATACACATCTGTATCACCGACATGCATACAAAACCCGGCGTTGCTGATAAATTTATAGACGATGTAAGATCGGCTGTAGCAGAGATAATGAAAGATCCTGGTGTACCAGTATCTGGCAAAATGGCTTTATATGGTATGGCCCAAAGTATACCCGATCGTACGGTAGTGGGTGAAGTAACACGCTGTTACCTTAATTGCATGTATTACACACGACCTGAAACTAAAACAATCAGCAATTAAAGAAACTTTATAATTTTTATAAAATAATTTTGTTTTCAACTTATTTGTATTAGAAAAAATATATAACATTTATTGTACTTGTTTTTATAATAGCACTTCATTAAAAAAAGGACTTTTTTTGTTAAACATTATTAGTGTATTTTTATTTAGTTTTCTTTCACAATTGTTATCTCTTAATTATGACTTATAAATTATTAATAAAAAGAAATTAATTTATGTGAATGTGTGGTAAATAAAAAACCAAAACTGGTATTTAAATATTTTACCATTTTAAGCAATACGCGCATTTTTTAGCTGTGTGCTGTCTTGGCTGATCGTTTCAGCTTTAATTAATTCAATTTTGAATTGAATGAATGAATGAACTAAATTTGTTTTAGAATTGGAAATAAACTCCCACATTATTTGTGGAGTTTTGTTTGTAGTTTTTTTTTTTTTTTTTTTGTTAAGGCGGTGATGCATCTTTGGCCGTCTCGTTAGCTGTTGTGGCGGTAACAAGTCTGTTAAAATCATTACGTTTTATTTTGGTATTTGACGTATAACACATAGAAGAAATAGTTTATAACAAACATATTGATATCGTGTGTGTGTCGTGGTTACCATTGGTGTTGCCAAATTAGTAAAGATAGCTTCATACAATGGAGTCAGTTCAATTATTAGTTTGGTTTGGAATTTTCGAAAATTTTTCAAAATAAGAATAATATTCAATTCTGAATCTTTCAGAACCTTTGAGTCTTTGGATAGTATACGTCAATATCTGAATAACTCGTTCACATTGTCAATCGATTCACAGTACTGGGACCATGAAATCCTTTTTGCTCATTTGAGATCCGATTTATACTTGTTAAAGCACATTTTGTAGTTGTTCCAAACTATTGCTTGACTTCTAGGCTTGGCTCTATTGACAAATTTCCCAATAGTCGAACTTTGAATTCAAAGTTCCTTAGTCCATTACATAGGTTGTTCACGTCTGCCCAGAAAAGTAAAGGTTCAACCCAGTGCTAAAGGCTTCACAATTTGTGTTTCTAGGATCCCTAAAAGGTTCACTTCTAGTCAAGACAAAGTTCAGCGAGAAGATAATTCGACTATGGTCTAAAAAAGAACAATCTGTTGCCACTTTTCTATCCGTAACGAGATCATCTAGACGGTTGATTAGTGTCAAATCTATAACAGCTTCCTTATACTTATTCCCGAACGTCTGCATGTCGCCCTTGCTGTCCCATTGGCAATCAGAATCACTAGATCATCAGAATCACTAGAATATCTTGGCCTTGAAACGGTTGTTTACGCAGACGAAGCAGCGGTAACTGGAATCCACCTTGAGGGGTTATCTCGAAGATTAAGAGAAACTGTGGGCTTATTGGAAAAAAGAACTCTGCAGTATGGCCCTAGTAATGTTAAATGGCTCAATGGAAGATCTTAAATAGAAAACCTTTTGTAAAGGTTATGAGATCGTCTGCGCTTCCCATAAATAGTGTTCTAACCACAACTCCTGGATATCTTCTTGCCAAACAATTGGCAATATGCACTGAAGTCAAACTGTGCAGCAGTGGCAAGTGGAACATCTGTACTAGACGCCATGCAAAGATAGTTAATCTCTTTCCAAACCCCTATTGACTACTGTGTTCCGGAACTAACAGAATCCAAATGGATGACTGATGGATCCAAAACAAAGATTGTTAATCTTCCAAATCCCTATTGACTACTTTGTTCCTGAACCGTCCTTTAAAAGAAATGTCCGGTGTCATATCTTTACGGAGTCCTATGAATCTCCTTCTTCAACTGTCGAATGTTACCATGTTTATACTAAGGGATCCAAAACAAAAATTTTTAATCTCCTTCCAAACTCTATGACTATTGTGTTCCTGAACACACATTTCCGGTATTATATATATTTCTATAAATTGCGGACTATTGCCATGTTTATACTCCAAGCTAAGCCAAAGTTGTATCGGATATCTAATATGGACATCAGAAAGCCAATCTGCTTTTTAATCCCTGATCGGTGTATACTGGGCGTCTCTGAGTGTAAAAGTCTCAAAATGTTGATGTCTGTAAAGTAATTACTGGACATCGTGAGAACTTCTAAGATATAGGTTTCAATATTGAACATTCAGGGCTTAACAGGATTATCACAACTCCTTGCATTACCATTATCTTTCCATTCCATTGCACTGGAGATCTTATCTGTAGTGAAGATCTGATCTACAGTGGAGATCTGTCATCAATGTATACTGGACATATGGTACGATTATACACAAATACCAGACGTGCCCTAACACATACCGAAAACAGCAAATCGTTAACAACATTAACAACAAAATTGAATTATAAGAGAAATATCGCAATTAGGGCGATATATAAAAGGAATTGAACTTGAGGAAGTTAACCTGATGAACGCAAAGGCCTTCGGCGAAAGAAGAGGGTCCAACGGCCATTTGGAATAATGAAGCAGTAGGTAGGACCACTATGAGATGGCCCCAATACAGGTCGAGAAGCATCCTTTGAATGAATAAGTCCGAGGTTAGTATGATGGTGCTTATTCTTAATGGGCACTGGTTAGCGGGCAAAACCATACAAAATGGGACGATCAGATTCAGACTAAAGTAGAGCATATGGCTAGGAGAGTGAAACTCTGGAACACTTTCTTTGTCATTGCCAGACCTTCATCGAAATTAGACTCAAATATCTTGAGAGCGATAACTGATTGTTACATTTTCCAGAGATTGTTATAAACATGTTCTATAGAAAATTAGTGTCCCACTGATTATGACAAATATTTTCTAAAGAAAGTCTAATTTAGTTCAAGTTTAGTTATAGTTCAGTTCTACTTCAGTTCAAGTTCAGTTCTAGTTCAGTTCTAGTTCAGTTCTAGTTCAGTTCTAGTTCAGTCTAGTCAGTTCTAGTTCAGTTCTAGTTCAGTTCTAGTTCAGTTCTAGTTCAGTTCTAGTTCAGTTCTAGTTCAGTTCTAGTTCAGTTCTAGTTCAGTTCTAGTTCAGTTCTAGTTCAGTTCTAGTTCAGTTCTAGTTCAGTTCTAGTTCAGTTCTAGTTCAGTTCTAGTTCAGTTCTAGTTCAGTTCTAGTTCAGTTCTAGTTCTAGTTCAGTTCTAGTTCAGTTCTAGTTCAGTTCTAGTTCAGTTCTAGTTCAGTTCTAGTTCAGTTCTAGTTCAGTTCTAGTTCAGTTCTAGTTCAGTTCTAGTTCAGTTCTAGTTCAGTTCTAGTTCAGTTCTAGTTCAGTTCTAGTTCAGTTCTAGTTCTAGTTCAGTTCTAGTTCAGTTCTAGTTCAGTTCTAGTTCAGTTCTAGTTCAGTTCTAGTTCAGTTCTAGTTCAGTTCTAGTTCAGTTCTAGTTCAGTTCTAGTTCAGTTCTAGTTCAGTTCTAGTTCAGTTCTAGTTCAGTTCTAGTTCAGTTCTAGTTCAGTTCTAGTTCAGTTCAGTTCTAGTTCAGTTCTAGTTCAGTTCTAGTTCAGTTCTAGTTCAGTTCTAGTTCAGTTCTAGTTAAGTTCTAGTTAAGTTCAAGTTCAGTTCTAATTCAGTTCAAATTCAGTTCTAATTCAGTTCTAGTTCAGTTCTGGTTCAGTTCTAGTTCAGTTCTAGTTTAGTTCTAGTTCAGTTCTAGTTCAGTTCTAGTTCAGTTCTAGTTCAGTTCTAGTTCAGTTCTAGTTCAGTTCTAGTTCAGTTCTAGTTCAGTTCTAGTTAAGTTCTAGTTCAGTTCTAGTTCAGTTCTAGTTCAGTTCTAGTTCAGTTCTAGTTCAGTTCTAGTTCAGTTCTAGTTCAGTTCTAGTTCAGTTCTAGTTCAGTTCTAGTTCAGTTCTAGTTCAGTTCTAGTTCAGTTCTAGTTCAGTTCTAGTTCAGTTCTAGTTCAGTTCTAGTTCAGTTCTAGTTCAGTTCTAGTTCAGTTCTAGTTCAGTTCTAGTTAAGTTCTAGTTAAGTTCAGTTCAGTTCTAATTCAGTTCAAATTCAGTTCTAATTCAGTTCTAGTTCAGTTCTAGTTCAGTTCTGGTTCAGTTCTAGTTCAGTTCTAGTTTAGTTCTAGTTCAGTTCTAGTTCAGTTCTAGTCCAGTTCTAGTTCAGTTCTAGTTCAGTTCTAGTTAAGTTCTAGTTCAGTTCTAGTTCAGTTCTAGTTCAGTTCTAGTTCAGTAGTTCTAGTTCAGTTCTAGTTCAGTTCTAGTTCAGTTCTAGTCAGTTCTAGTCAGTTCTAGTTCAGTTCTAGTTCAGTTCTAGTTCAGTTTCTAGTTCAGTTCTAGTTCAGTTCTAGTTCAGTTCTAGTTCAGTTCTAGTTCAGTTCTAGTTCAGTTCTAGTTCAGTTCTAGTTCAGTTCTAGTAGTTCTAGTTCAGTTCTAGTTCAGTTCTAGTTCAGTTCTAGTTCAGTTCTAGTTCAGTTCTAGTTCAGTTCTAGTTCAGTTCTAGTTCAGTTCTAGTTCAGTTCTAGTTCAGTTCTAGTTCAGTTCTAGTTCAGTTCTAGTTCAGTTCTAGTTCAGTTCTAGTTCAGTTCTAGTTCATTAGTTCAGTTCTAGTTCTGTTCTAATTCAGTTCTAGTTCAGTTCTAGTTCTGTTCTAATTCAGTTCTAGTTAAAGAAATAGTTGTTTATTTTATTTCAAATAATTTAGAAGTGCACTAATTGTTTTATCCTTTAGTGTTTATATGTTAGTCCTTTACAAATATATAACATGCCACCTACAAACGCAATAGAGATGATAGGTACTTTTGTTTGTTTAAGGTACTACAAATAGAAAAAAATTAAACATATGTTTGTTAAAAGTCATATAAAATCATCATAAATTAAGTAAAACTCTTTCAAAGCTAAATATTTACTTAAAAACTCTTGAAATATAGAGTTTTCTTAAAAGAACTCAATTCAATTTACCCTTTTTACCCTTAAATAAATCCTAGCCCAACAATGTCGCTCAATACGTACTCACACTCTAGTGTTTGTTTACTTGTGTATTTGTTGTTGTTGACGCTGTTACTAATGTTGTAGTTGTTGTTGTTAATAATATTCATTTCATACCAGCCGAGTAGCACCAACATTGGTTGAAATTTTTGTTTGTTACGTTAGTAGCGGTTTTGATTTCAATACGTTCGTTTTAAGCGGCGTTAGAAAAATAATACCGGCGCGTGTATTTTTTTTTTATT